ATCTGCCAGTGAGTTCAATAGACCCAGAAGTTGCAAGAATTGACGTGCTGTGACTGATTGAACCGTCAGGAATAAATGTATTTTCTGACATAGTTTTGTAAATTTTTCCTCTGGTGGGAGGACTAGGCCTACACTGGTTAGGAAATGTTCTCCCAGGAAAACAAAGTCTTGAGAAGGAATTATCTCTGACTTTTTCCAAGAGATTAGGAAGCCTAGGGACAGAAAACAATTGATGACCAAATCTGTCTGAACCCTCAATTTGATTGGGCAAAATTCCTTGAGAAGGGAATCGTCCAGGTAGGAATGAATCTGAATAGACAGGGAATGTAGGTGAGCTATAGCTGCCTGCATGATTTTGGTAAAAGCCAAAGGGGCTGTAGACAGGCCAAAAGGGAGAGCCTTGAACTGGAAAACTTTGTTGTTCCAAACGAAGCGAAGGTATTTCCTGTAAGTATGGGAAATGGGAATGTGGAAATAAGCATCTGAAAGATCCAGAGAAGTAGTCCACATTCCTGGAAGGATTGAAGCCCTGATTGATCTGTTGGTTTCCATTTTGAAATGGGGAACAATAAGAAAGTTGTTCAGAATAGATAGGTCTATGACCGGCCTCATTCCTCCAGTCTTCTTTGGAACCAGAAAAAGACGGGAATAAAATCCCGGAGACAGAGTTAAGAGCGACACCTCCTCTATTGCAGATTTTTGTAACATTGTGTCCACTTCTACTGATAGAAGTTGATACTTGACTGGGTCTTGAGTATGAGACAAACTTATCGGAACTGCAGACAGAGGAGGTGGGTTCTTGAACTGAAGTGTTAATCCCCCTCGAATTATTGACAGCACATAACAGTCTGAGGTAATTTTCTTCCACTGATTTAGGAAAAAACTTAACCTCCCCCCTACTGGTATTGATTTTTGAGGAACTTGTTGTAAATTTTCCCCTGGGGAAGCTGTCAATAACGTACGAGGGGGCAAGAACCTAGGTACTAGACCCAGGTTTCTTGGGACCCTTAAAACCACCAGAAGGCTTACCTGAGCTTTTTCCGGAGTTATTGGGTTTGTTCTGCGGTTTGCCGTAGTTATTCTTCCTTTTCTTAGCAGAAGAAGGAGGACCACCTGAAGCAGAAGTACTAGTAGAACTAGATGTAGCATTAACCGACCTCTTGCCATTAGTAACTTGTACACTAACTTTGACTGGAGGAGGGTTTTTGCTGAGTTCCTCTTGAACCCGCTGTAAGGGTAAACCAAACATCTTGTCAGTAAGTGGAGATTTCAGTAAAGAATCTTTCAAAGGCTCAGCAACAGAAAAGTTTTCAAGAAACTCTGCTCTTTTAGATAGGGTGCAATTAGCAATAGAACCCATTAAAAGCAACTGAGATGAACCTAGAGCTTTATCCAGTTGAAGTAAGAAGGATCGTACTTCTGCTGGAACAACCGAATCTTCGCTGTTAAGCAAATGTCCGGTTGCAGCTAGAAAATGTTCGGCTGTGCCAAGAACTTGAGAAGCACTACGAAGGAGATTCTCAGTCTTTGACCAAACAGGTTGAGTGAGACGAAGACCATCTACTGGCTTTTTTCCCAATAAAGATGACATAGATTTGTCACAACTGGGAACAAGTCTACCCAGTGAAGAATCAAAGATATCAAAATCCTTGTACTTAACCTGATCAGAAAAGGATGACATTCCAAATCCAGAGATATTGTTATTAGCAACCTTTTCACTAGCAGAATTAGCGATACCTTCATTAATAAATTGTAAAGCAAATGCCATATGGCCAGATTCAGGAAAAGAATTGTGAGAAGTCACAGTATCCTGAGAAATACCACAGGAAGCTTCAAAAGTTGAAGAAGGTTTCTTCGGCTTGGAAGGAGAGGCAAAAGGGATATGTGCTTCATCCCTCATCAAGGTATACACCTTATCCCTAAGATCCTTCAAGGATGGAGGATCCTCAGTCTCCTTGGTGGGAGGTTGTTGAGCTGACTTAGAAGAAGGCTCAGGGGCCGTCTTCGATACCTTGGGAGAAGAAGAACTTTCAACATCCTCATCAGTGAGGAAAGCCCTTTCATGACTCCCAGGGGAAACAGAAAGCTCGTCATCCTCCCTCTCATCACATTCTACAGACTTAGCTGGAGAAGGTTGATGAGAAGAAACTCTATTCTCCAGTAGAGACATACGACTGGATAGAGTACTAAATTCAGCCTTGAAAGACTCACTAAAGTCCAAAAGCAACTTCTGAAAACCATCCAAAGATGATGCATGATCAGAACCCTGAGTACCATGAGAAGAGCTAGAAGATTGAGCTCGAGAGTCAGGTACGGTGGTAGAAGGAGCTACTGCAGGAGTCAAAGATACTGCTACGGGTGGAGCAGGAGCTAAAGGTGGTGCAGTAGCTACCCCAGAAGGGGGACCATAGAAATTGTCCCTATAAGGCCAAAAACCAGGTTGGTTTGGCATAAACCCACCATAAGGGTAAGACTGTGGCCAAGGTGGCTGAGACCATGAGGGTAAAGGTTGTGTGCCCGAGTTGGGAAGCATATACCCACAATAGGATGATGGGGGTCTAGAACCTGGCAAGTTCAAGCCCATAGCTGTACCTGGGACAGAACTAATAGTACCCGATGAATTAACAGGCCTAGATAAAGTATGAGTCACCGAAGTTGACGTAGGTACCCCCCCAAAATGCATGGCTGAACCTTGTGAAAGGGTCGGATAGGTAGCATTACCAGACACCGTTGTCGAAACTCCGGTCATTGTACTGGTAGTTTGGGGGGGACTTAAAGGTAGTGACCCATCTAAGAGATAGTCCGAACCAGGAATATTTACATACGGACTATTCAAATTAAAGTCCATAATAAAATTTACTTTAGTCAAAAAAACACAAATAATTTGTTTAGAAATTCAAACTAAACAAGGGAATAAATTTCCAATAATATACACAATATGAAAAGCAATTAAGCTATTCAAAAACTTTACAAACAACTAAACACTTCTCTGTTGAATCTGTATATATTTGCACGTGTGACCGATGTCGCAGATGGAAATTGAATGGGAGAATATGGGCAAACAGGGGTATATGTCCGGACCAGTGAGAGTACGTTTATTTTTAGTCGGGATTTTCCATCTGACCTATGACGCAATTGGGGTTACACTCAGAATTTATGATGGTAACGTATTTATAGCTATAAAAATCCAAGCTTGAGAAAAGTGGTCAGGAGTGAATTTCCTGGTCAAAACTACGTTTTTGATTGCCAAACCTACATAAATCAATAAATAAAAAGTTTTTGTTGAAAATAAATGACTACAATACTGTCTTTGTGTTTTATTTGTTCTTTGGTAAACATTGTGTCGAAGTATCAATCAGCGGGTGGCCAGTTAATGATTTTCATGGTCACATGGTTTTCCTATAAACCCAAAAGAAGAGCCAAGAACCAAAAATGAAAAGGAGATAATAATGTACCAAATATGTGAAAGGATGTTTTCAGCGGAGTTATTGTGTCATTATTGTGATATCATGATATCAATTCAATGCTTATAAATCATATAATAATCAAAAAATAATTTTAAGATTCATTCCCAAAATCAAAATATTATTCATTAAAGTGTCTCAGTAAACAAATTACAAAATTGATTGACAAGCCAATATAATCCATTGATAACCCCAATTAAGAGACAAAGAGTTGTATTTACTAAAGGTGTGAAAACTATCAGTGATAGGTAAACAGATGACACTAATGAGTTGGAGTTAGTTATTTTAATATATTGATTAGCTTCACTTAATTTTTTTAATCCTTTAATCATCACAATATAATAAGAATTATGAAGTGTACATGCTCATTTAACACCGAGTTATGTATGCTGTGAAAAATATTTTCATCAAGTGTTGATTGACTTTAAATTTTTCAGGTTCATATTGGTTTATATTCGCTTTTCTCAAACAATAGGTTGTTAGTCATACCCTACAAAATTATTGATGCATTACGTAAACAACACATGGCTAATCTAACATTTGAACAGTGAACAAAACAAGAGAAATGAATACATCTTTATTATTAACAGCAATATAAATTATCATGATGAGCATCAACTAAATTCAAACCAACAAACATTAATGCAGAAATGAATATTATTCCTGGATTTGCATTGGTTTTACCGGCGTTCACGGTTCAGTTACTGTCAGCTGAAAAAAAAATGCCCAAATTTTGTCCGACTTATACGAGGGTCAAGACTAAATCCTTAGAATTTGGAGCTGAAAAGGGCCCCCAACTTATAATAGGATCGACCATATATCTGTACAAAGGGAGATAACTCATTTTTTAAAAGACATTCTTTGGTAAATTGTTTGAGGAATTTTGTGGCAGGTTTATATGTTTTTTTGTATAAACTAATTTTCTGAATGCTACATGTATATATATACTTTTTTATTAAGTGAAACCCTTTAATTAGATAATAATTTATTTTTATTAAGGTATATATTGCATTACATTACATTGTGTAGATAAAAGTTGTTGACATTTTATAGATAAGTTACAAATCTTTATTAGTTTGTGACAAATGAAAGAAAAAATATTTGGAACTATTAATTATATTTGATTGTAATTTGAAAATAGATATACATTGTATTACATCATATCTAATTTTAGAGAACTATTAATCATATCTAATGTTAGAGTATTATAGGTTTTCCTCACTTTTTTTCATCATGCTTGAAGATATTGATTGACAATTGGTATATAGTTTTATCATGACAAGTTACGGATCAAGTTCAAATTTTTGTTTCGGTCTGATAATTTTGTGCAGAGTTATGGTCCTTGGACTTGAAAAAATTCACTCATATATTCAGTTTTCCACACTGTTTTTAGTCATGCTTGAAGATATTGACTTGATATTTTCTTTTTGTTTACACCATGACCCGGTAGTGGACTATGTATTGCCATGCTTGTTAATTTTCTAGTTTAAACAGTGTTTATAACAATTTTGTTGATGGTGTGGTCTTTATTGACAGATAGAACTGATGATGGGAACAGTGGAGAGAATTATAGAAACTGAGGAAAGTAAAAGCGGTCTAATTATAACCAAAGCTGTTTATGGTAGACTTCTGTCAGAAGGGTAGGTAACCATAGTAACAGATAAACATGGTCTTATTATAACCAAAGCTGTTTATGGTAGATTTCTGTCAGAAGGTTAAGTTACCATAGTAACCAATAAACATGGTCTAAATATAATCAAAGCTGCTTATGGTAGATTTCTGTTAGAAGGGTAAGTTACCATAGTAACCGATAAATATGTTCTAAATATAATCAAAGCTGTTTATGGTAGATTTCCGTCAGAAGGTTAAGTTACCATAGTAACCGATAAACATGTACTAAATATAATCAAAGCTGTTTATGGTAGACTTCCGTCAGAAGGGTAAGTTACCATAGTAACAGATAAACATGTTCTAAATATAATCAAAGCTGTTTATGGTAGACTTCCGTCAGAAGGGTAAGTTACCATAGTAACAGATAAACATGTTCTAAATATAATCAAAGCTGTTTATGGTAGACTTCTGTCAGAATGATAAGTTACTATAGTAACAGATAAAGATAGTGCAATAATAACCAAAACTGACCAGTTTCTCCAGAATTTGTTACTGGCATTAAGGTATGAATTAAATTTAAGGAGTTATTTTATCAACAGTAAAGATCAGTTGTCTTAGAACATGACTTTTATTGCTCCAAAAGATGGGTATAATGTTTGACCCTCAGTCTGTCTGTCCCTCTGTTAGTCCTGTTTTTGTCTTAACAACTCCTCTGAAACCACACAACAGAATCTCATGACACGTCATAGATAAGGACATACTATGTAGATATGCTTATCAACAGGAAATTTGATTCAACTTTTTTTCTAGGAGTTATGCCCCTTTGAACTTAGACTTTTGGCCTAAATATACTATTGCAACAGTTTGTCATCTCAGCTCCTTTGAAACCCCACAACAGAATTTCATGAAACTTTAAAGTTAGTTAGGAAATACTATGTAGATGTGCATATCGACAGGAAATTATGATTTTTTTTTTTTTCTAGGAGTTAAGCCACTGTGAACTTAGAATTTTGGCCTAAATATACTGCTGTTATCACAACTTCTCTGAAACCACACAACAGAATTTTATGAAACTTTGTAGATAATAAGGACATAATATGTACATGTGCATATCCTCAAGGAAATTTTTTTAGTTGACTTTTATAGGAGTTATGAGTCTTTGAACTTAGGAATCTGGTGAGATTTTGTTTGCCCAGTGAGAATGTGGAGACGTGGGGTATGTGAGCATGCTCACAAAGGTTCTTTAATTTTAATAGGACCAGTTCTAATAATCTACTTGAACTGATTTGCATTTGAGTCCAGTGATTTTTTATTAATATAATTATGATATACATATGAACTAATAAAATATATTTACAGGGAATTATCTGAAGATGAATGTATAAATGTGACCATTCCTTTACAATGTCTAGTCAAGGATTCCAGACTACAGCTACCAGAAAGTAAATCTAAGGTATTTCTAACTTTTTAGCTGGTTCAGGAATAGAATATTAAATTCCAGTGGAATTTTTTCTAGGGATCTCTGCTAAAAGACTTGCTAAATGATCTTAGCAGCTTGTTTCTATTAAGATATTATACATACATGTACATGCTCTTAAACTTCTGTTCCTTGTGGATAAAAGGTATTTTTCCATAGTCTTCCATTTGTATCACCATCATGCATTGGCAGGGGTATATAGTTTTTGACCCATGCATCAGTCATCTTGGTTATCTTGATTTGGAGATGCTTAATAACAGATATACAAAAGATACCAAAGGAATAATCATACTCATAAGTCAAAATCGAACTGACAATGCCATTTGAAATAACGAAAAACTACCAAAAAAGACAATCAACAGTATACAAAACACAACATAAAATACTTTAAATCATATTGCAACCATCCATCCTTGGATAGGGTCACATATAATGAGAGAAAGCTCCCCATTGATTTTTCTATCATGATCCTTGTTGATTTGCTGGCTGGATTTTATGATCCATGTCTATTTGCTGGCTGATATCCCTGGATTTTATGATCCATGTCTATTTTCAGGCTGATATCCCTGGATTTTATGATCCATGTCTATTTTCAGGCTGATATCCCTGGATTTTATGATCCATGTCTATTTTCAGGCTGATATCCCTGGATTTTATGATCCATGTCTATTTTCAGGCTGATATCCCTGGATTTTATGATCCTTGTCTATTTTCAGGCTGACTGTTTATTGTTTTTTGTGTATTTGCAGGCTGATATCCCAGGTTTTTATGATCCTTGTCCAGGTGTTGCCAAATCACTTTATATACAATACAGATTTAGAGACCAACTTCATGAAACAACAGTACCAGATGAAGAACCAATCAGATTACCTTTACAAAGTAAGTACAGGACAAACTCTATTATTTAAGAACCAATCAGATTACCTTTACAAAGTAAGTACAGGACAAACTCTATTATTTAAGAACCAATTAGATTACCTTTACAAAGTAAGTACAGGACAAACTCTATTATTTAAGAACCAATCAGATTACCTTTACAAAGTAAGTACAGGACAAACTCTATTATTTAAGACCCAATCAGATTACCTTTACAAAGTAAGTACAGGACAAACTCTATTATTTAGGAACCAATCAGATTACCTTTACAAAGTAAGTACAGGACAAACTCTATTATTTAAGAACCAATCAGGTTACCTTTACAAAGTAAGTACAGGACAAACTCTATTATCTAAGAACCAATCAGATTACCTTTACAAAGTAAGTACAGGACAAACTCTATTATTTAAGAACCAATCAGATTACCTAAAAATTTACAAGGGAAGTAGAGGATGGTTTCTGCCAATCAAGAACCAATCAGATAACATTTATAAAATAGTTCCAGACAGTCTCTATCAGTTCAGAACCAATCAGATTGCATGTGTTGATATAGGTATCACTTTCAAAATTAAGTCAATTATGTTCCTAGACCAGCAAACATGGCAGCTGTTACTATAAAAAGAAGATCGGTACGACCACAATTTTTGCTTTATATTAAAAAAAATTAAAGCAGTTACAACAAAAGTGAGTAAAATTGATCAGGAGGTTAAGGATCCTTATACCTTGAAATTATCAGGAGATTGGAAAACCCTTTTTGGGATTATTGCCCCTGAAATATCCATTTGTCGCACATTTCTTAGTTTTATGCTATTAACTTGAAAACAGAAGTAGAAGACCAGCTTTACAAATAAAGAAATATAACCTGATTGTCAGTCTAATTTGTATAAGAGTTATTGCCCTTTCCTGATGACTTTTAACCAGTTTTGCATTTTTAGCAAAATTCAGTTGATAGAGAGTATTAGTAAACAGCCAGAATAATCAACAAGACAATATCTACAAAAAAGTTTATTGACTGCTTGTGGAAGTTATTCATATTTACAAATGGCATAACACTTTTAAAAATAGTTGACAGGCACACATTTTCAAACTTGTCCAAGATATTCGTGATATAAACCTTTGATATACACCAATCTCGAGAAGTTTTTAATTAATGAGTAACACCGGTTGACCCAAGGTCAATCAGCGAAATTGACGTCATTGAACAATCAGTTCTTACTGTGAATTAATGACATAGGAAATTTACGGGGAAAGTGCACAAATTTGATAGTCGTCTATAAGTTTATAAATCTGGCAAGAATTGTACAAGTGTGAGCACTTACAAGACCAGACAGATGAACACATGGAAGCCTGGTATTTCTATGTCATCTGGAATGCTTTACGTGAGGGGACAAAAACAAGATCTACAATTAAGTCAATTCAAACAATTAAAGTCAACAAAGTGCTGCCTGCCTAGTTTACCACCTAATGAATAGAAACTTGGGGGCACTATAAAATCATGAAAATAGTTTAGACCAAATGATAGATTAATACAATTTAATTATTTTTTTCAGGTCATTTAATAAGTGAAGATTCTGGAGGTGTATGACATAAGGAAGATAGTTAGAGAAAACTTGTGTGCCAATCTGTACTCTATACAAACCAGCTGACTGAAGGACTCTAAACTGAGTCTGTTTTATCACTGAACAGAACGGTTCCTGACAGAATCTAATCACTAGAGTGTTTACTACAGCTGGATGTGGTTTCTGTTATATTGACAAATCAAAATATAACAATTAATGAGAAGTTGTTGAAACATGATAAATTACGTGTTGAAAGATGATCTGGTACTGAGAATATTTTGATTATTCATTGTTATGTTACTTCTTTCAAGAGACAAAACATAGGATTTGTTGTTCTGTTTTTTGTTTTCACATAAAGTATCAACACTGTTCAGTTTTCAAATCAGGTTTTTTGTTGAACATATCTTGTTAAATTATTGATATTATACCTAAACATCAACAGTCAGGGGTGCTACTTAAACAAGTGATTTCATCATCACTTATTTCAGTGATTTGATAAATTCAGTTATCACCTATTTAAGTGATTTTAGTGTTTTCTTTGATCTTCAAATGCTAATTTCATTGATTTTCCATATTTTCACAATCTTTTCTATAATTTTCCTACATAAATCAATTATCCCTTTTTCTTTGTATATTAATTTCACCAGTGCGCTTGGGCAGTAAGTTAGTGCGCTAAAGCTTTTAAAAGTACCCTTGGGAATTTTTCTGTAATCAAAAATTCATTAACTACTCTTACTATCAGACAAAGATCAACAATATTAGGTAACCTGATTGGTTTTCTTTAGAGTTAGAATGATCTACTTCAAGGTTATGACCTGATCTACAAGTTATTCCAGTTTTTGCATATTTTAAAAAAACTGTAAAAGTGTCAGGCTTATCAAGCAAAAGACAATTTCTGCATATACATAGTTGTTTTTTCAATGGAATTGTTGTCTTTTTACCAATAAAAAAATCAAGCTTGTGGGAAAAATATCAAGAAAATGTTATAAACACTTATTAAAGTGATTACATTTTAACTTTTAAAATTACTTGTTTCAGTGATTTTAAAAAGTATGTGTGAAAATTTTTAATATTTCACAACCAAAATCACTCGAGGGAGTGATTCTGAAATCACTTTTTTAAGTAGTACCCCTGACTGATCAAGAACATTAGAAAATCGCAAGAATAAATTGTCAGGAAGTTCCATAGAAAGTGCTTAACACGAAATATAGTATTTGCAAAATTGGTGCTTTCTTATCAGTTGGCTTTATGCATAATTACTTATGATTATTGATATTGGACAAGACAGATATGTCATTACACTGGCATCTCAATACTGTTCAGGAACTTGACCCTGCATTCCAATGTCAGACATTAAATGATGTAAAATTACAGTCTTTAAAAGGGTAAACCAACATACTTTCACCAATGCTATTTCAATGGAATTTTTAAGAAAAGATCCACTATTGAATTATTTGTGATTTATTTTTCTGGTATTTTTCATGTTTTTCTACAAGTTGCAAAAAAAGCATAAAAAGTTGGTTTACATTATTCACTGTTTAATTCAAACAATTGACCCAGTATTCTATGCAAAGGAAAGATTTTCATTATCATGTATATTACATGCATATAAATTTTGTTGTCCGTTTTATTGCTTTTTTTACATTGGGCATTGACTTTAAAGCAAGTAAGACTATTTAATATCTCTGTCAACAGTTTTATTTACTGTACCAAATTGTTTTACTCTTTATATATAATAACTTTTACTCATATCTATTGCCTTATTTTACTTGGTGTGTTTTGTTTTTAACTATTAGTGAAAATAATGATTGTCATGAAATAGGAAGAAAAATCTTACAACACAAATCATACATTTTTAGAAGAGTCAGTTATTGAGCCATAATTGCTCAGGTGGAACAAGTATAATTATTTTTCAAACATTGTATCTTGTTTTGCTCTTTTGTAAGACAAGATGTGTCATGTATTGCTGTTTTAAACCTGAGAATTTACAAATATAAAAAAGGGGAGGAGATTCCCTTTAGAAAATTGTGTTAACAGATTATTTCAACTTCATACATGGACACAGGGTAGCTGTACCATGAGCCATGAGGTAAAGGTCAAATGAAACATACCATACGGTTCAATGTCTTTCATTCAGGTTTTAAACTTTATTACTGATATAAAGATTAGCTTTAAAAATTAAGATCTTGGATACTATGTAACCTACAATGATGAAACATAGTGTATCTTTTTTTTATGAAGTTTTGACAATGTTATAGATGCCTAAAATAAATTTAACCACAGACTGAATCTACAACTATGACAAAATGTCACAGATTCTACAAAAATTGGTAATACCTTTTACATTTGGATTGAAATGATCTATTCAATTTATTTTAATTATAATGATTTTAATTACAACATGTGTACCAAAGATATTAAGATATTATATTTTCAATATTTTCCTTATTATTAAAAAAAAAAAAAAAATTCAACAACAAAAAAGTATTTTGAATTCTACTCTTGGTCATTTATTATTAAAATTTGTATTACCAGTATTTTTTTTTTTTTTTCTTTAATATTGAAATGTTCACTATTTTAATTTGGAGGAATTCACATCTTAAATATGAAGACTCTTACTACTATTGTACCTTAAAGTGTTTTGCAATGTTAAAATATTATTTCACTGTCAAGTCCACTAAAATCAGTAAGTTAACTTTAGAATGTATCAATGCTCTTGATGCTGTCGGTGGATGATGGAAAATATTATGTTTGATGACTTCAAATAAACAAATTAAACACTACTTTTTACGAGTATTTTCTCAGTGGATTTATCGGTGGTTAGAGGTTATATAAACTAATCATCATTCCATGGCACCTGGTTAAGCTATTGCCATCACTTGATGTCTGTTGTCATCTTGTTTTCTGAAACATTTGGGATGATCTTGTCTGGGCTTTACTGGATTAATGTGTTGAATGTGGACTTGAATAGGTATATGTTAAGCGTTTTTATGCCCTACCTACGATAGAAGGGGGGCATTATGTTTTTCGGTCTGTGCGTCCGTTCGTCTGTCTGTCCGTCCGTCTGTCCCGCTTCAGGTTAAAGTTTTTGGTCAAGGTAGTTTTTGATGAAGTTGAAGTCCAATCAACTTGAAACTTAGTACACATGTTCCCTATGATATGATCTTTCTAATTTTAATGAGAGTTTTGACCCCAATTTCATGGTCCACTGAACATAGAAAATGATAGTGCAAGTGGGGCATCTGTTTACTATGGACACATTCTTGTTTATGTTGTTTTATGACGATTAAAAATCATTTTTTACATGCTGTTCCCCAGGTTTTTCCTTTGAAAATGACATGTATGCCACCTGACATTCTGCTGGGGTTATTGAATTACCCCCTTAAAGTACATTTTTCCATCTATAGAGTATGGTTTGTTTGACAAAGTTTACCTCTACTTTTAAAGGTATAATTTTATTTTGTAGAATATGTTTTAAAATATATAGAAGATGTGCCTGTGGAAAACATTCTAACTTTTCTTTCAAATTTTCCAAAAATTACATGTTGAAATTGGCTACAATTTGGGTAAATTTCCAAAATAGGGTACAGGGTTTGTTTGTCAACTATTGAAGATTTCAGGATAACACCTTTGTATTTTGCCAAACAATTGTTCTTAAACTGAAGATATCCTTTTAAGAAGGATCTACATTTCCCTTCATTTTCACTATTTTTTTTTAAGTTACAATGTTTTTAAAATGAGTTTGATGTAATTTCACATATATATACATCATTATCTTTCCTCCTATACATTTCTAGGAATATCATTGGTTAATAGCAACCATGTGGAGACCGTGTATATTTCATATGGGGTTAGTAGTTCTGGCTTATTTTAATACACGGTTAGTAGTGGTGTTTCGTCCCTTTATAAAAACAACACTGCGTCAAGGAAAAGTCACCGGACAACAGATGAAGAAATTGATGATGAACGATTGAAATAAATGCAGAAAACACATTAAAAGCTAACAAGTTGTTACTGTTGGCATTTGTTTTTGTATAGACTAATGGAAGTAGGTTCTTTATTTGAAATTTGAAATGCCACATGTTAAGATAGTCGGCAAGATAAATTTGTAACACATTGTGCTAGTGACCTAATATGATTAGATAAACAGTTTGCTAGTGACCAAATATGAGATATATGGGGTCAGTAAATTCCATATGGGGTTAGAGAGAAGCTTGAACCCCATATGGAATTTACTGACCCCATATATCTCATATTAGGTCACTAGCAAACTGTGTAACAAATAGTACATAGTTCATAGTTTGTCCATCTAACTTTTTGAATTGTAAGATTTTAAGCTGAACTCATGGGTTTTGAAGAACAGTGGTTAATATATTAAAGGTGTTCAAGTGGGATATATTGAGGTGTTAACTTTAACAGGCAGTGGTCGACCTACCAATAAAATTCACCATTCTGTATAATGAAAACACAATTTGAAGCATAACAAAGTATTTACAATTGCTTTAATCTACATTATTTTGATAGTGGCCTCATTGGTAATCATACTACATCTTCTTATTAATATACAGATTCCTTGAATTAACTGATATGAAACAAGTATATATGACATAATAAGGTCAACACAATAACCAAGTCTATACAATATAACACAGAAAACTTAACATTGAGCAACAAAAAACCTATAACAAACCAGAGTCTTACTTGGTTAGTCACACTTGTCTGTACATAGAAAGAAATATGTCTACGAACCCTGCCAGATAGACATATGACTTGCAATAATTCTATACACCAACAAGAGGCTGTCAGAGTGACAGCAAACCGGATTTCCTGCAGAGGTCGAACCCTGAACAGTTGGTGCAAGTATGGACGTATTGTTATGCGTTTACTTTTCTACATTGGCTAGAGGTATAGGGGGAGGGTTGAGATCTCATAAACATGTTTAACCCCGCCGCATTTTTGCGCCTGTCCCAAGTCAGGAGCCTCTAGCCTTTGTTAGTCTTGTATTATTTTTAATTTTAGTTTCTTGTGTACAATTTGGAGTTTAGTATGGCGTTCATTATCACTGAACTAGTATATATATTTGTTTAGGGGCCAGCTGAAGGACGCCTCCGGGTGCGGGAATTTCTCGCTGCATTGAAGACCTGTTGGTGGCCTTCTGCTGTTGTCTGTTCTGTGGTCGGGTTGTTGTCTCTTTGACACATTCCCCATTTCCATTCTCAATTTTACACTACATTTAAGCTTAAAACAGCTCTGAATTTGGATTGTGATTGAATATATATTTGACACAGCATAGGTTTGTGACACAAAATGAATGTGGTCAAAGAACTGAATAATTTGAAATTGACATTTACCTATTATGGTCAAATATCCAAAATCTAAGTACATTGTTTAATAGAATCAGCATATCAAAGAACCCCAAGAATTCAATTTTTGATGAAATCAGACAAAAGTTTAATTTAGGACCCTTTGGACCTCAATGTGGACCAATTTGATAAAGGAGCCCAAAATCCAAAATCTCTAAATAGATGGTTAGATTCAGCATTTCAAAAAAACCCATAAATTCAATTTTTTTTGAAATCAAACAAAGTTTAATTTTAGAACCTGGGCCCAAAAATCCAATATTTAAATACAGGTTTAGATTCAGCATTTGAAAGAACCCTATATATATTTAATTTATGTTGAAATGAATCACAGTTTAATGTGATCCATATACTTATGAATTTTTTGTTCAAAGGGAAATAACTCAAACTGAATAAATGATAAACAAATAGTTCTCTAAAATAAGATATGACTTAACCACTAAAAAATTGTTCTCTAAAATTAGATATGAAGTTATATATTTTCAAATTATAATCAATAAATTTAGACATGATTTAAGCACTAAAACATTGTTAGAATCAGCATATCAAAGAACCCAAGAATTCAATTTTTGATGAAATTAAACCAAAATCAGAAATCTTAATATATGTTTATTAATAGACAATATAAGCTTAGTTTTTAAAGGAGTTCATTTCATCAAAAAAATATATATATATAGCATTCAAAAAAGTAGTTTATACAGAATAACAAACAAACCTACCATAAAATTCTTCAAACAATTTACCAAAGAAAAGAAAAAAAAAATCCAAAATGTCATTTATCATTAATACAATGTCTTTTAAAAATCTATAAAAGTTATCTGTAAGTGTAATCAAACTTTATATATATATATAATTAACCATTTCTGTTCAAAGGGAAATAACTCAATCACATAATAAGTACCACTTTTTATTATTGGAAAGGGATAAAACTTAACAATGAGAAAAGCTAAAATCAGAAAAAATTAAACTTGACCTTTTTTTAGTCACAGGAAACAACATATCTAAATTTGAAAAAATTTCGTCAAAGCGTTTTCATGTTAATCAATGTTAATGAACGGACACTGTTTGGCAGCCTCACGCCTGCTCGCCTGTCCACCGTACATCCCCAAATCAATAACCGATTTTTTTTCCTTCGGTTAAAATAGATGACCTATTGCTCACAAAAACTTCACGATGAATGAACTATGAATTACCGGTAGGTTAAATATCAGATGCACTCTGCAAGACGGACATGCATACCTTACAATCATTTTATACACCAAATTTTATGTTTACTTAATGCTACAACATTAGTTTTTCTAAGCAGTCACGTCACTGAACCATGAAACTATGGTCAAGAACAATGGGCATCAACCAGAGGGAAACTACAGAGCAAAAGGCATCTGTATAGAAGACATGAATTACTCAGCTCTTCTATTTATACAAACAGCTTATGCCATGTGCCAGCTCTAGATTAGCATCTCTGTCTTGTATTCTGCCACAATTGTTGAAGGCAAAACAAAAACCTTAAATATATAACAAACATCCTGTGGAAAACATAACAAAATTCAAAATTTATAAATATTTTTATTACTTAATTTTTTTTAGGTCAGATATAAAAAAATTCTTGGGAATCTCATGTTCATTAGCATCTACAGCTGAACAGCATCTACAAGACATGTATCTATATTTAATCATGTTAATGTCATGTCCTAGTATTCACTGAACAAAATTCATATCAGCATAAAATATGTGATGGGGATTAAGAAATACATTTATAGTCTTTTCTTCGCATGATTTTATTTTCAGACTACGTACTAGCACAGTTCATTTTACATAAAAAAAATTAAAAAGTCTACCCAATAAACGATACAAATTCTCACACATCTTAACAAAATATCAAAACACAGATCTACCAGAAAATATACAATATAAATATAACATTTGGCAGCATGGTATAAAAAATCTTATTGATGATACACAATCACAACCAGGCAAATATTTTTTCATACTGAGGAATTATATTGATAAACTTTGGGCCCTATCAAAATTAAATTGATTGAGCATTTTCAACACATATCTTTTTTAAGTCACAGTATATTAATATCACAAATCCATCATTTAAAGTTTAAAAATTGGGATGAATAATTGTATCACAAGACTTCATATTCGGTTGATTTATGGGGCCAAATAAGCCCAAAAATGTATATCTTCTAATTGTAAAAAATTCTCTTCAGGTTCGATTTACTGCTATAATATCCAAATACATCTGAAATTGATAATTCTATATATGATCACAATTCCATATGGAAACAAGCCACACCCAACATTGATAGTAATTCCATAAATGCTGGGAATGCACTACAGAATCCAAAGATGTACCAGTAATAGTCACATGGCCAAAACTGAAACAGGAAGTAAACTAATGCCACTGCACCAGATGCATGTGCTGCACAAGCTGTTCAATTGTCAAGGATAACATTCTGTTGTAAGTATGCTTATCTCCCTTTAGCAAACCAGCCAAGGGAAGTAATTGCAATAGCAAAGTGTGAGGTAATCATGCCAGATCAATATTTCTCACAATTGTACTGAAGCATTTTAACATAGTAAACATCAAAGAATTTCATTTTTACACATATCTATAAAACTATATCCAAACAAAAATACTTTGTAACTTTTGTTATAATAAATATATACCATTACTCAATTATTAGATCCACTTTTCAAAAGTTCTATGTACAAGAAATACTCATTCTTTTTAGCAAATTTATTTGCACCATGCTTTGAGAATTTTTATACAGCATAAAACTAATAAACACTTGTATGAAAAATAAGGGCTATAAAAGTCCTCTTCTACAACATCCAATCAATATCATAACACATATTTCTGTAAATGCCGGCAGAGCACTTGAGAAGCTGAAGATATACCAGTACCGATAACAAGGCCAGGATCGGAATATAAAATATGACAATGCTACAGCTGCCCCAGAATGTGCTGCTATTGCTAATCAGTAGTCAAGGAATTCAATCAAGTTAAATAAAAGAAAATACTGTAAAAATATTTTTCAACATTAATGTCATTTTTGAATTTTTCCTCAATCATATAACAAGTCGGCCTATCTGACCCTCCATTTTTTTCATATTTGAAGCTGGTATATTGTATGTATAAGTAGGTTATTGTCCCTTTATGTGGCTGGTTCTCTTATTCACAAGAAAGATGCATAAATTTCACCTCATGGTTAATTTTGTTCTTTTGTATTATGTACTTTTAAAAGAGTCAGCTTGGTAAGAAAGATTGTACTTACTACAACTAATTCTATACATTTTAGATTTTTGTTTAGAAAAATCAACCTTCTACAAAAAAAACCCTATTTTTTGCCACATCTACATATGCTTATTAAATGTGCAAAATTTCATTCCCTTCCAAAATAGAACTGAACCAAATTGACTTCCCATATATATACTCTAAGCTAACATATTACCATAATACTACTGATAAAGTTGAAGTAGAATGAGAACTGAACTACCTGAATATTTATGACTTAGAAATGAAGAAAGCAATGCATTAGTCCATGTGTTGGCCAAGATACTGACAAACTCACATAGGTAATCATGATAGGTCAAGTGCCCCCATTAATGTAATTATTTTTTAACCCATCATTCACTGTACTTTATGATAAAAAGGATACATAACATGCTTTGCATAGGTAAAAACATAGAGATGCCACCAATGAATCCTATCAGCTCTATACCAAATAATCCTAGAGCTACAGACAGACCAATTATCATCCTGAAATAGAAAAATATAAGTTTAAAAACAAAGAGATGCCATCGATGAATTCTATCAGCTCTATACCAAATAATCCTAGAGCTACAGACAGACCAATTATCATCCTGAAATAGAAAAATATAAGTTTAAAAACAAAGAGATGCCACCAATGAATCCTATCAGCTCTATACCAAACAATCCTAGAGCTACAGACAGAACAATTATCATCCTGAAATAGAAAAATATAAGTTTTAAAAAAAAGAGACGCCATCTATGAATCCTAGTAGCTCTATACCAAACAATCCTAGAGCTACAGACCAATTATCATCCTTAAATTAGAGAAAAATATGATCATCAGTTCAATAAATTATTCCTAAGTCTGATCAATAAAAATATATCTGGTTAAACTCATTAAAACAGAAACATTACAAAACAAAGACCAAAACTGTGACTTGGATGGATAGTTGTTTCATTGGCACTCATACCACATCTTCTTATTTATATCTACACTTGATACTATTTTATTGTTATGATGATTGATCTTTGTTCTTTGCAGAGTTCTTGAAGGACACTGCCCTGGAGGTCAATACCAGTAAAACACGTCATATTATAATCTTTTTTATAGCTTTTAATTATCTTAATGGCATGGATAATACTGTAAATTATTGTGATGTTTACATGTAACAGCAAATTCAAAAATCTCTGTACCAGATATTCTTCTCTTAAAGAGATGCATAGTTAGTATAAACATGTTTATACTAACAGTGTATCTGTATCATGTTTATACTTACTGTGTATCTTTATCATGTTTATATTCACAGTTTGTCCTTATCATTTTTATACTAACAGTGTATCTTTATCATGTTTATACTTACAGTGTATCATTATCATGTTTATACTTACTGTGTATCATTATCATGTTTATACTTACTGTGTATCATTATCATGTTTATACTTACTGTGTATCATTATCATGTTTATACTTACTGTGTATCATTATCATGTTTATACTTACAGTGTATCATTATCATGTTTATACTTACAGTGTATCATTATCATGTTTATACTTACAGTGTATCATTATCATGTTTATACTTACTGTGTATCATTATCATGTTTATACTTATGTGTATCATTATCATGTTTATACTTACTGTGTATCATTATCATGTTTATACTTACTGTGTATCATTATCATGTTTATACTTACAGTGTATCATTATCATGTTTATACTTACAGTGTATCATTATCATGTTTATACTTACTGTGTATCATTATCATGTTTATACTTATGTGTATCATTATCATGTTTATACTTACTGTGTATCATTATCATGTTTATACTTACTGTGTATCATTATCATGTTTATACTTACAGTGTATCATTATCATGTTTATACTTATGTGTATCATTATCATGTTTATACTTACTGTGTATCATTATCATGTTTATACTTACTGTGTATCATTATCATGTTTATACTTATGTGTATCATTATCATGTTTATACTTACTGTGTATCATTATCATGTTTATACTAACAGTGTATCTTTATCATGTTTATACTTACTGTGTATCTTTTTCGTCATATTCTGATTGAGTATAGCTACTGGGCAAACATTGTTTAATATTCTCCTCCTGAAAAAGAAAACAAAATATTTTGCATTAATATCTTGTTTTTTTTTCTACGCCGCTGTTTTAATAAACTGCTGGTACATGTATGTGTTTAATGGTATAAATTTATAATTCAATGCTCAATTAAAGTAATCAAAAGCATTTTAGACAATATTTCTGGTTATATTTTTGCATTTTAGGTACCCCTTTACCAGTAACGACGACACTTCAGCACCTAAGGTTCCAAAGACAATTTGGAACTGTTTCAGACATTTCGTCATCAGGACATTTCGGGACCAACACAAATCAACACTTCATGTTTTCTCTCTTTATTTTCCTGTTATTTTTTAAAGTTAAAAAAATCAATAATCAAAAATGAGTTAACAATACTGTAAAATAAGAATTTTTATAGTGATATTAAAATCCTCACATAAAATATGCAATAAAAAATTTGATTGTGTTTGAATAAACATATCTAATCAAATCATAATTGATTGTGGTTATGCATTAATCAATATTTTATGTAAGTTTACAATGAGTTTTGATAATTTCTCAATGAAGCTTGTGTTTGCATCTTGGGTTATCGTTTGATTCCCACAGTTCTAAAGACAACAAACATGACAAAATACCTGTAAACTATATTTTATTGTTTTAACATTACAAGTCATAACTGAGTGTTCAAAAAGAGGGGAAAATATAAAACATTTGCTTCTACCATGTCTACTGACCCTGGGAATAGTATACTGTCAATACATCATTTTGTCCCAGACTAACCCAAATAATAACACAAAACAGAAGACATGTATTAAATCTTAGAAACCTAAATCAGGATCAGGCCACTGTGGCCACATAATTAGTTGTTAATACATGTTAATAATAAGGTCTGAAAGCTTAACAGTGGAATATAAGCATAATAGCTTGATGAGGTGCCGATTTGTCTTCATACTGAACTGTTTCTCAGGTGCCGAAATGCCTTTCACCAATGCTGAATTGTCCTTGTGCCAAGTGTCAAGAATTCAGGATTAACAACCAGGTGCATATGGAAAATGGGGCAAATCAATACCATTAACCTTATAGACAATATATGTTTACTAAGGTTTTCGAATCATTACATAGGTTTACATAGGTTTTTAATGGTTTTTGTGGGTATTTCGGGGTGCACTGGTATCCTGTAGCACTGGTAACAAGACACTTCAGCACCAAGACATTTCGGCACCTTGTTCTAGAGACAATTCAGCATTGTTTTAGACATTTCAGGACCAAGACAAATTGACACCTCGTTTTTTATCTCCATATTTTCCCATTTTCATTAAAATAAATATAAGAAATAACAATTAAAAATGATTTAAAAATACTGTATAACAAGAATTTTGATAGTGATATTGATATCCTTACATAAAATATGCTGTGTGAATACAAAATGTGATTGTACTTGAACATGTTGAATAATCATATTTAATCAAATCATAATTGATTGTAGTTATGCATTAATTAATATTTTATGTAAGTTAATGATGAGATTTGATAATTTCTCAATGAAGATCAAAAGTGTGCAGCTTGTGTTTGCAGCTTGGGTTAGCGTTTGATCCCCACAATTCTAAAGACAACAAACATGACAAACTAGAACTGTCCACATAGCGGGACTTATACCCCTGTACATGCATTCTAGTTGCTACTGTGAAAAAGAGAGAAGAAAAAATATAAAACATTTGCTTCTACTGACCAATAGTAAACTCAACATATTATGTCCCAGACTAATGTAACCCAAATAAATACACAAAATTTCCAAACAGAAGAAATGTATTAAATCTAAGAAAACCTAAATCAGTATCAGGCCACAAGAATTAGATGTTTATAATAGTCTGAAAGCTTAACAACGGAATATAAACATAGTAGCTTCATCATGTTTATGAGGTGCCGATTTGTCTTGATTATCAGATACCAAACTGTCTTTCTCAGGTGCCGACAATCACCGATGCTGATTTGTCTTGGTTGGGAAGTGTCTAAAATTTGTAGCACCTGCCTCATATCAGTTGTCATTTGTAAACACCTTTTATTAGAGGACGAAGTCCCCTATTACAGTAGAAAAATCAATAAAAAAAATTTTAAAAAAAAAATATCGGGAAAATTTCCCAAAATTTTCATTGTACTAATGAACTCAAAATCGTTAACTTTTTTTTTGTAACTTTTTTTAATTCCCGCATTTGCGCAGAAATCTTCTTCCTTCTTCCGGTCTCGTTTGTCATGAGACTTTGAGTGAAATATATATTTATCATCCCAGTAAAATATAGGAAGGAACACAATAACAATTTCATTTCTAATTATTCTTTGATATGAAAAAAGCGTTACCTGATGATAGCGTTTCTTTGTTTACATTGAATATGACGTCATAACTAAAATAACGTCACAACTAAAATCCCTAACAACAGAACCAAAATCGGAAACGTTACTGTATTTCCGTTTCTTTTTTAACAGATTTAGAACTTAAAATATGTTTGAATTAAAAAAAAAAAAAGTCCCCTTTCACAGGTAATGCCTGCCTCATATTAGAATTTACATTGTGTAAGGTTAACTTACTTTCGACCAAAATAAAACTATGACTATCACAAGATGGGCAACAATTGTGAGAAATCTTGCTGGAACAAGACCACTTATTCTCATTTTAATTTAACTGTATAGCTGTACTGTATGTATATTCGGCAGTATACTTCTTGCCAAGTGTCGTTTTTAACTCCTTAATATGCGTAACCAATCAGTTTTGCTTTAAAAATATAATGGTTATGTCTTTGATGACAATTTGTTATATACGATGTACACAATACATAAGTATCAAAATATTGGTATGTCTAAGCTTGTTTGGCGGCCATTTTCAAACAAATCATGTTTTACTTCCGATTCCGGTCACGCTTGCGCATTCACTGTGGACACGTCTCTTCATCCAGCTTGAAACTTAACCGGCGAAACTGATTTGTTTACAAACTTATAACCCAAGAGAATGGTAACCAATTATTCTTTTAAAATTATGAAAAGCATAAGCTTCTTGATCTGTAGTAGCTGTCAGGTTTAGGGACAAAATAGAGTAAAAATCAACGTTTGATGTAAAAAGGGGGATGTGGATCATTGTTGACACATTTTCAACATAACTTACTGTAGGATTACCAAAATTATGACACTTAGACAGCGAGGGTAAAGCAAGAGGAAGCTTGATTAATAGTTATTTGAGAAATGAGGTCATAATGTATTGGTCAATAACAATGGAGTGAAGTCCACACAGTCACGGGCTGGATTAACCTTGTCTGTATGGCATGAGCCATGAGCCATGATGAGGGCTTTCTAGACGCGACGGCCATACTTCCACGTCAACCATATGATGTGTCGGCCATACCGCTACATCGCCCATAGGATATAATAACCATCTACATGCATATATCACAATGCTTTATAAATACAATTTATTTCCGAAAAAAACCATGGACAAACCACGTCCTGCATGAAGATGTTGTCCTATGTCTGATAATCTTTTCAAGGTATGGATGATGTGGCAGTATGGGCGTTGCGTCATGCACCAGAATGAGGTAGGCTAAGTAATCTGTTTTCTGAGGACACTTCTTCATTGACAGGAATCTGGCTCCAGGGTTCGACATTAACTTTTATACCAACTTGTCCAGTTGGGCAAGTGCCCTATTACTTTTACTTGTCCGAAAGTGAAATCTACATGCCCAAACTTGTACATGCTATTTTTGTGGTTGTAATGTAGTACATGCAGATAAAATATAGTTATCATGTATATGGGGTGTAAATTGATTATGGAGCAGTGTTTTCCCTAGGCCATTCAAGCATTGCGGTACCGCTACGCATAAATTTCGACCGCCATGCTTTCATCATTGCCGCAATGCATCCCGCTATGTGTGAAAATTATAACTGTGTAAAATATTTATTATCGATATTTTGAAAGTGAAGTGACAAGTAAAAACACTCCACAGGTGTTTTAAACTCATCCGACTGATAATGGGATGCATCACGTCGCGTGTGCTGGGATTTTACAACCTTATTGATTAGATGGTTATACATTTGTACATCGAGACTTCGGTTACATAATAGAAGTTGCCAGTTAGCTGATAAATAAATATTAAGATTAATCTCCAATGCATATCTATCTGTGCTAAATAAAAAGTTAAACCTTTTCCAGTATAAATTTCACCAAAAAAGGGGCCGGTGTTTGATATCGTTATTTTACGGTTCCTTATTTTACTGTGATCTTTAAAAAGTAAATTAAGAAAAAAATGGTATAGTCTCTGGTATTATAAAATAAAACTAACGTAGTTTCACCGAGAATGGACAAAACTTTTTTTAAAATAAAGTTTCGCAGTTTTTTCCATCAGCTATATCAATGTATATTTACATCGATGCATTATTTTTTGATTGGTCACAACAATCAGTTATTTTTAGATTAGTCGCGGTTGATTGATTATATCAAAGAACACACATCACCGCTACCGGGCCGAGAAAAAGAAGTATCTTATGAAATATTTAAAACATTTGATGGAAAAACTTTCAAAACATACATAGTTATTTACGGAAGTATTGTTTTTAATAAACTGGAGTTGTCAATGGGTCACATAGCGGATTCATTTGCCGTTTTTTTACACAAGTGTGGCTAAATTTCTTTCACTTCGGCAAGATAGGATTTTTACAATTATGAAGTGTTATAAATAAATCGGACAGGAATGTATTTAAAAAATAAAAATAGTTAATTGTCAATAAAATGTCAGCTTAGCTTCCAAACAGGTAATTGTCAAATATGTCATCCGTATGTCAGGTATTCTTCATTGACGACTTCTGTAATTAACGCAAATAGACTTTTTTTTATTGTTTCCTGTAAAATCTCTGTGAAGCAATGATCACATTCAAAGTTTTATTTAACAACTTGCTGTTGCTGCTGAAACCATTCTATCAGCAAATTGAGGACACTGTTAGTGAAAGAATGTAAAGACATGACATTTAGGCACTGTTAGTGAAAGAATGTTAAAGACATGACATTTAGGCAGACAATGAACAAAGTTGCCAGTCTTGGAAGTTTGGATCCTTGTCTAAGTATGCAGCAATTGGTCTTGTTTTGCCAGTTTCAACAGCTGATTGTGAAAGGTGTTTTTCATGTTTAAACAGAGTTAAAACACCTTTGAGAAACAGACTATGCCAAAAAGTGCTGAATTGCTTAATGCATATATCAATTGAAGGACCAAAGGAGGAAGATTTTGATTTTGAAAAATGTGTGGGGATCTTTGGAAAGTTGAAACAGAGGAAGATATCAACAAAATAATGTGTACATGACATTAATTTGTAAATAACTATTGCAGACTGGATTATTTTTATTATTGTTTTCTTTAATTCCTCTCATCTGTAATAAATACTCTAAAGTTCCATGACTTACCTATAATAAAACAATTAGATTGGTATATGGCTATAAACATATAAATTATATAGTGTAACTAATTCTGAAAAAGAAACATCACGCGCTGCGTTGCAAATCCACCATGGACCCACCATGCATGAAAAATTTTCTAGGGAAGACACTGATGGAGTATGAAAATATACTATGAGGCATATATGAGCCGAGGAGGGAGGGAAAAGATCGATGAATATACGGGAATGGGATTATTTACATAGAGATACTTATTTCATAATAATTTATCTAAGAAATGCCATTTCAAATAACCCTTCTTGATAAACTGACAACAACTGACAAATTTGTAAAAGTTTAATTTCATTTTCTCTTTCAAGCTTTTACGTTTTTCCATCTTAGGGAAATACACATCCGATGTCAAATTATAAAGTTAGAACAACGAAAATAGACCTCCGCTTTCCATTGGTCGGTGGGAATAACACGTGCGTCGGAAACGCCCGAGTGGTGTCCCGATGGATAACGATAATGGCGAAGCAACGCCGCGGCCGCCTGATTGGCCAATATTTTTAAACGTGATCTATTTTTGGTAAAATGGGGAATTCAGTGCAAACAATTGACGAAATATACACATTGAAGGGGGGTTAAGACCACTTTACTCGACCGTGCGGTGTTATCACTGAGTAATCTATGGACAAAACAACAGACACTATTGATTTTGTGAAATTTTAATCATATAACACTTTTTTTCACTTGCCCGATCGGACAACCAAGATAATGTTTTTACTTGTCCGAATACGGCATTAGCTTGCCCAGGGCAATCGGACAACCGTAAGTGTCGGACCCTGGGCTCTGTTTGTCACAAAAACGTCCACCCCTGTCTCCTCTTGTTCCTGTTTATCCTGGTTCATTTGCCAAGAGTCACCCTATTTATATGGGAGTCGGACAGGTGCTTCTTCAGTATAGATGACTTTCGAATTTGTGTACTTTCCCGTAAATATCCTATATCACAATGCTTATGTTATTACATGTACGTCACAGTAAGACGGGGTATGAATTTAGCGTTGCCCACTCGCCATTGGTGAGTAAATTTCAGTGTGGGCCCACAAAAATTCCATCTGTGTCTTCCACTTGGCGAGTGAATACCAAATTCCAGTGTGGGCCAATAAAAATCCAATTTCTTAGTGTTTCCTGCAGCTTTTGAAAAGGGCAGGGTAATTTTTTTCTAAGAGGGCACTCTTAGCACGATTGGCTACACTTTAAGGGCACTCTTAGCGCGATTGGCTACACTTTAAGGGCACCCTTTGCGCAGAGGACTACACCTTTAGGGCACTCTTTACATAGATATAAAGGCACTGTTGTGGACAAGGGATTTAATCGAATATACTATTGTTTCATATTTATTGGTAAGAAATAAAGATATGTATATTAGGTTGTTAATTTAATTCCTTTTTGTAATAAAATTATCTCTTCTAGACTCAGCTAATAGAATCTTGATCAGGTTGATTGTGAAACTGCCATATTTCAATCAATAACTCCAGTTATACACTTTAATACTGGATCACTGAGACTGATTGTCTAAAGAAGTGTTGGGAAAGTGGACTTTGCATGACCAAGAGCATATGCATTGCATTGCTTTTTAGATGCACAAAAAAGGTGCCAAATACCTTTAGGATCTCAGTACATTTTTATAGCAATCAAAGCTACCTTGGCTCATAACTGTAGAAATAGTTTTAGGTCATTCAAGGATTTGTATAACAAGACTTACTTTACATATGATTGTGCTACAAATGTATTCATCTTTTTTCCATCTAATTAGAACTGTGTTTTTTGGAGTTTTTTTTATTGAAACGTATTATTCAAAACTATATCAGCTATATTCTTAACTTTAATTTTATTTAGATAACAACAGTATAAAAGCTGTCGTAAATTCACACCCAATCCGACGTCTTGACCGACCGAATAGTATAAATAGAAAATATAAACATCGGATTGTTTACGTAATCAGTGGTAATGTTCATCCCATGCATCGTGAAATTGTAACTCAAGTAATCGCCTTGTTCCCCTTAAATTTTCTACATTTAAAATTTAAAGAGGTTGGAATCGATGTTCTCCCTATAAGATTCAATAAAGCACCATATTTGTACTCCGTCGCTTTAAAACTGTTAAAACATAATTACGAAATTCAATAAAATATCGGCCATTAAAATTTTGATTTTGTCCCAAGGGAAATAACTCGAAATGATCTTGTTAAAAGATGAATTTCAGAACCGATATTGAATTACGGCTGGGCGTTCTTAATACGACGGAAAAGGGCATGGCGCCAATTTGTTTTCCTAAAAAGGGCAGGGCGTCAAGAAAACAAGGCAGGGCACCATACCACGCCAAAACCTCCTGTAGGAAACACTATTTCTGTCGCCCACTTTTTCAGTGTAAATAAGAATTAACAATATATTTCTAATTGATCGGAGTCTTCTGACTTTGTTTGCTAAGTTTTTGAGCATGCTTCTTCTTGTTATGGAAATAGTACTTCTGTATCTGAAGCACTTCTGTGACGGGTTAAACCGAACAGCCGAACGACACCAAATGGAAGTTCGGCATGATTTTCAATTTTGATACTGCACCTTTTGTGATTATTCTATTTTTAAGAGATGATGAATAACGTTAAGCAGTGATCGATCTGAAGATGAAAATTTCTCTGTTGGTGTTGTTATTCTCGTACATAATTTATACACCCTTCTCCTGACTTTGCAATTATTATACTTCAATCATAAGATCCGGTCAGTGAAATCAGACAATTTGAATATGACAGGGAATCAAGGGACCCTATGATCAAATGCCATTATGGTAAACAAACAATTTTACATCAGCCGGTCCAAGATAATTTTTACAGGTCATGACCGGAAAATGAAACCGTTTTAGAAGCCATGCTCATAACTATGGGGTCAGGAAATAACCATTGTTCAGTTATATTGTTTGCCTTTAATTACCTCCAAAATTTGGCTGTTTCCCCTAGAGAAAGTTTCCCAATTTGTCAAAAAAATGGCTTAAAATTTTTCCAGAACGTGATTTGCTGTAGTAAATGAATGTGAATATCGTGTTTCCATTTACAATGTTATTATTTTGATATCATTTGAGATCCGGACTAATCAGAATCATCGCGGTGTTGGTAATGCAAATGATTTTCAATGTCTTCTTAATGCAGGTAAGATATTTTCGTTTCTTTCTCCTTCCCGAAAATTTCCCCGATGACTCATATTTCCCCCCCACAAAAAAAGTTGGAGGTAGTTTTGAAAAAAAGCCAACAATATCACTGTTGTTTCCTAAGCTACCAAAAAAAATTAAGTTTTATTTTAGTCCTTGTGAGTGACTGGGGAAGCATTAATTTCTATCCCTGTTCTAGGTGTTAACTATTTGGCAATGGATTATCATGATGATTTTTATATATCTTGTTATCATGAGAAAAAGTTAAGTGCTTTACTTTATTGTATTTTTATACGCCCGTTTACGGGACGTATTATGGTATACCGTTGTCCGTCCGTCCGTCTCTCCGTCCGTCGTCAACATGTCGGACATTAACTCAAAAACGCTTTAACCAATTTGCATAAAACTTTGTTGAATTGTTAATATCTATTGACGTGAGTTCCCTTTCATTTTTTATAAATTTTAGATTTTACGTTTCCGAGTTATGGGGTTTTATTCATTAAAAAAAGGGGGATTTTCCAGTTTTCGGACAATAACTCAAGAATGCTTTCACCAACTTGCAAGAAATTGTGGTGAATTGTTTATATCTATTGACATGAGCTCCTTTTCGATTTTTATATATTTTAGATTTTACGTTTCCGAGTTACAGGGTTTTATTCATAAAAAAAGGGGGATTTTCCAGTTTTCACACAAAAATCTAAAATGCTTTCAGCAGTTTGTATGAAACTTTGGTGAATTGTTTATATTTATTGATGTAAGCTCCGTTTAGAATTTTATAAATTTTACATTTTACATTTCTGAGTTATGGGGTTTTATTCATTAAAAAAGGGGGGATTTTCCAGTTTTCGGACAATAACTCAAAAATGCTGTCAGCAATTCTCATGAAACTTTGGTGAATTGTTTATATCTATTGATGTAAGGTCCCTTTACATTTTCATAAATTTCTAATATGACATTGAGAATTAATTGAACTTTATTTGTTTATAGTCTGACAAAAGATTTAATAAGTATTGCGCAACAGCACAGTGTATTGCACAACAGCAAGAAATCTTTAATTGAATATAAATTCACTTCATATAACCAATTTCAAGTTCTTTGACTACATTTATTCAGAAACCTATAATATGTCAAATATTTAATACAGACCTGTATCAAGCTTGAATATTGTGTCCATTTTTGCCCCAACTATTCAGGGTTGGACCTCTGTGGGCGTATCCAGCTGCGCTCAGCGAAGCAGTTTTTTTTTATGTAAGGCTTATCTATATTTTGTAATGGAAAGAAATGCATGTTTTTTTCAGGAAGTCTTTGAAGCTTTCATTTGAGAATATTTTGATTCAAAAAAGCTTCAATAATGTACAACAAATGTTCTCATCATTGACATCTGAAAGAAAAATATCAACTTGTAGCTTTGTTCTAGCTAAGATTTAAAGGGAGAGGAACATATTAGCTTGGTTTCTTGCTTGAAAAGGAACAAACTTGATCATGTTTATGGATGAAAAATTGTAATAATTAATTCATTTATTTTTGCTGGTTTTATGATATTTTAGGGTTGTAAAAAGCTTTTCTCAATAGTTTAAAAGATTCTTTTGAATTGAAAAGTACATACATGTATTGTCCTTCAGAAAAAAAAATTATAGTGCAGGACTTTAAAGGCAGAGGGGTGCACAGAAATGGTAGCGGGAGCAGTGCCCTTCTATTTTGGGCTAGCTAGGACTTAGTATTCCTCTATTTAGATTTGTAATATAACGGAAACAGTTGGAAGGATATAATTAATTTGTCAAAAATTGTATATATATCCTATAAGCTGTACTTGCTTTTGGAATAAAGTATTATTATTAATAGTTAAAGAAATTTTTGAATATAGTATTTACAGTTTGATACTGTCAATGACTGTTCATTCTTATATACATACTGAAATATGATTATCTAATATCTAATGAATTATGTATTGCAGCCGTTACGTTTGAATATAAAGCGGGTTTTGACAGCCCGATCAGACCGTGTTAAATGCATGGGTCTGCACCCAACTGAACCATGGATGATGGCAAGTTTGTTTGATGGCAAGGTGATCATTTGGAATATTGAATCTCAGGTATATGAATATTGACTTTTATTATTCTTTTCAGCCGCTACGTTTGGATATAAAGCGGAAGCTGTCAGCTAGATCTGATCGTGTCAAATCTGTGGACTTGCACCCTACAGAGCCATGGATGTTAGCCAGTTTATACAATGGAAATGTACACATTTGGAATTTTGAATCACAGGTATCTCAAGGTTTCTCTAGGCTAGCATGTCAGGGATTAGGCTAGCATGCGAGCAAGTGTACCAGACACACACTATGCTCCAATAACACTAGTATAATATGCTGCATGTTTTTCCTATTGTTTTGTCCAGATACCTTTATATGTTCTAACCAATGTACCTGCTTTACATGTTTGAATGAATGCTATTTGACAAAAAAAATATGTATGTATTAATTTCAGACTTGCTATTTTACTGCGCTCAGTCATTTGTCAGTATTCTCTTCAGAAATTTCAAACAGTTTCCTGTTTCACAAATTATTGGCATCAGAATAATCCAAATTTTACAATGAAACCTCAGAAAAAGTTTCTTTTTGGAACTATCAGAATAAAAAATGTAACTTTGAAAACATGTGCTATGGAGAACCTCTTCCATTAAGCTTTTTTCACAAAACAGTCCAAAAGGAGTAGACAACTCTCTCTCTCTCTCTCTAGAGTATTTTTAGATTGTGGATACAATGATTGTGCCAATTGATAATGTTTGTTGAAGGGTAATTGAATATTTTATGAACTTACACTTACATCAGATAAATTGTTTGCAATTCAAAGAAAAAAATATCAAGTTGATACATGTTATACACTACAAATAGCTCTTCTTTTTAAATGCATTTTTGCTGTACTCTTTGATATTAAGCTTGATTGGACTTTTCTAGTATTTAACATTCTATATAATATATATATATCATGTATATTACAAGATAAATAAGAAATTTACAGTATATATTCAAGTAAGATCTTGTCATTATATTTTCACACTATTTTATGTTTATCATTGTTAATGTCAGCTCAGCCCCTTGTTTAGGTATTTCAGAAATATTGAGTTTTCAAACATTTGCTGCATTGCACTGTCTCTTTGCATTATCATGGTTATGGAATATTTTTATTTAAGTGGACATGGATATGGGATTTAAAACTTTAAATTATTTAAGGGTTAATCTGGTTTATATAAGTGTTATGAGGATATGGGATATCAAATATATACCCCTCACTGCTTCTGTTATCAAGAAAATCTCACTAAATTTGCAGTTACCATTAATAGCACACAAACAAATTACACAAATGCAAGATGATTGAATATATAGAAATCACTTCACTGGATAATTTCTTTGTGACTCATTATCAAATTAATGAATTCTATATCATGTATATTGGCAGATTTTTATACGACTGCAAAAAAATTTTGTGGTCGTATTTTGGTATCACGTTGTCGTTGTCGTTGTCCGAAGACACTTGGTTTCCGGACAATAACTTTAGTATTAGTAAATAGAAATCTATGAAATTTAAAAGGAAGGTTGGGATTGATTTTGGGGGTTATGGTCCTAACAGTTTAGGAATTAGGGGCCAAAAAAATAAGCATTTTTCTAGTTTTCAGACAATAACTTGTGGAATGGTGTATGAATCTCTCTGAAATTGTACAACAAGTTTCCATACCACAAAGGGATGGTTAGGATTGGCTTTGGGGGGTAATGGCTCAAACCGTTTAGGAATTAGGGGCAAAAAATTGGGGGAAAACAAGGGTTTCCTTGTTAATGGACAATCACTTTTAAGTACAATGTTAAATTTGGATTACCTCCCTTACACTGCTTTAAAATTATGTATAAAGAAATTTTGTATTGTCTTGAGGTGATTAGCTGTCAATTTATTTTTTAGAAGTTACTTATAAAAATGCTGATTAAAGATATATTATTTTTAGACATGATTATGTATGTCATTTTCAATTTTAAGACTTTTATGATGTATTTAAATGGGTAATTATGGTTGCAAACTCCATTGGAAATTTGCATTGAGATAATGACCATATCTTGAGGGAAAGATTTTTTTTTTGGAAAAAGGGGAGGGGGGGGTACAATTTTTTTTTATCATTACAGATGTCAGAAATTAAAAAGAAAATTTCTTCAAATATTTCTTTTTTTTTGCAAAAGGGGTGGGGTGAGAAAATTTTTTTTTGTGGGGGTCAATTTGCAACAGCATAGTGTATTGTACAAACGCAAAAAAAAAAGGGGTGAAATTTATTTTTTTTGGGGGGGGAGGAATTCGCAACAGAATAATGAATTGCACAAAAGCAAAAAATTGAATATAAATTCAAATCATATAACCAATTCTAAGTTCTTTGACTACAGTTATTCTGTGTCAGAAACCTATTATGTGTCCAACATTTAATTTCAATCCAAATTCAGACCTGTATCAAGCACGAATATTGTGTCCAGTTTTGCCCCAACTGTTCAGGGTTGGACCTCTGCGGTCGTATCCAGCTGTGCTCGGCGAAGCAATTTATTTTTAATTGGAAATACTTACAAAATATTACAGATTAATTATTGTAGATTAACTTTGTATTTACAACAACAATTTTATAACAAAACCATTTAAATGTATATGATAGAACTCAAAATTATCAATTTAATTTTCAGAATCAATAAATAGCAAATAATGATAAAATTTATTAATATATATTTGTTACATGATTTAATTTTAAAACTTTAAATATTTATTTATTAAAAAATATAAACCATTTATTACATATATATTACAATTTATAACTTGAAGTTTGTGATCGTCTCATTCATGATTCAAGTTTATACATGAGACCTTTGAGTTGGTCAATATCTGTGAATGAAATACCATCTCATTTCAGACTTTAATCAAGTCCTTCGAAGTATGTGATCTGCCAGTGAGAGCTGCTGCATTTGTTCCTAGGAAGAACTGGATTATAACTGGATCTGTAAGTAATTTATTGTTTTGTGTAGAGACAGTAAAGGGAAATAGGTTAATGTCTACTATAGTCAGTCAGGGGACTTATTGAAATAAGTGATTTTTAAATCACTTATTTAAGTAGCAAATTAGAAGTTTTGTCACAAATTGTGATTTTGTAGTTTTACCAAAATTTTAAACACATAGCTTTAGATAATATCTTTTCATTAGTAAAATTGAAAAAAATGAACTTTTTGCCTCTTTTAAGCATCAAGGTTTATGCCTTTGATGCAATCATTTAGCTGCAAATTCTATTTTACTTGAAAAAATGCTATAAAAATGGCTTTACATAATGAACTGATACTTTCTCAACAGATTTTTCCCAGCAGTGGGAGTATTTTTCCTGTAAAATTCAAGGTTTCATCTTAAAGATAATGTAATAAAATTCTACTGTTCGCGATCAAAATTTCACTGTTTGGGGGTGTTGAAATTAGTGGGGGTTATTAAAATAATGATACTTAAAGAAGTGATTTTTTGGAAGGAAATTGAGGTATGATACTTGAACAAGTGATTTTTATGTCATTATCCTAGATTTAGTACAAGGTCATCACCCGACATGACCTGGTCATCCTATCAATACAGATGTTGGTTCTGATAATTTTAGCAACATAATTAGTTCCTGGATCATTAGTATTCTATATTTAAAGCTACGATAAAATTAAATCACTTAGTCTAGTGATTAATTTGTACTACTTAAATAGGTGATTATTAAAGAAAGACAACTCTTACTTCCAACCTTTATGTACATAATGTTACTTGAATCAGTGATTTAGAAAATCACTCATTTAAGTAAGTCCCCTGAGTGTATAGTAAAAGTTAATTTAAATAGGAACATAGAAAATGTTCTAAATCTTTTGTGGATTGATATTTGGAATTCATTTGACTAGTAAATCCTCATTTTATGATTAAATGGCATGGCGATGCAAACATAACTTCAGTGATGGCACGTAGTTCTCATTTAAACCTTGTGGAAAATCACATTTATAACTTCTTTTCTGAATCTACATGACCAATTCTAATTAAATTTAGTATAAATGATGATTGGAAAGCCCTCTACGTGTTTTCTTCATCTAGTGCTGAATGGCTGAAAAACATAGCTATTTTGATTGTCCAATTTCTAAAATCTTCTCCTCTGAAACTACAAGGTGGAATGATTTGAATCTTTAAAGGTTTGATGTAAACAAAACCATCAGTAACACTTGATTAACTAAATTTGTTATAAATTATCTTCTCTTCAAGGGTAAATTTGTCAAACCTGAGCAATATAGGCTAGTTTATCAGATGGATTGAAATATTAGGATTATAATTTAATGTTACATGTAAATTGCTTTTAAAAAATTCACATTTTGCTTGGACAATTTCATGAACAATAAAACAGAATGTGCTATTAATAACTTGATTATTGAAATTGTTTATTTTCTCTCATTGTAGGATGATATGCATGTACGATGTTATAACTACAATACACTAGAGAGGGTCCATCTATTTGTTTATTTTCTCTCATTGTAGGATGATATGCATGTACGATGTTATAATTACAATACACTAGAGAGGGTTCATCAATTTGAAGCCCATTCAGACTACATTAGAGCTATCACAGTCCATCCTACACAGCCTTTTATCTTAACCAGTAGTGGTAAGTTCATTCAGACTATATTAGAGCTATCACAGTCCATCCTACACAGCCTTTCATCTTAACCAGTAGTGGTAAGTTCATTCAGACTATATTAGAGCTATAACAGTCCATCCTACACAGCCTTTTATCTTAACCAGTAGTGGTAAGTTCATTCAGACTACATTAGAGCTATCACAGTCCATCCTACACAGCCTTTTATCTTAACCAGTAGTGGTAAGTTCATTCAGACTACATTAGAGCTATCACAGTCCATCCTACACAGCCTTTTATCTTAACCAGAAGTGGTTAGTTCATTCAGACTACATTAGAGCTATAACAGTCCATCCTCAGTGTTCTCCCCAGATATTTTGGATAGCATCACATTTGGCGTAAAAAAAAATAAACTGTATTTTTTTCAATGTCATTTGTCGCGTCGCGGTGATGCTCTATTTCCTTTATGGTATATATGTTTATATTGTTCAATTCATAACTGAGAATACAATTAAAATATAACCATGATAACAGTTGTTTCAGTTTATGTTTTCTATATTCATTTATAGTTACTGTACAGAATTATTGTTTTCCTCTTGGGCCATATAACAATATATGTGTGGTTCTAGGCTTCTAGCAGAGACATATAATACAATATATGTCTCTGGTTCTAGTTACCCTACCTACCCAACTAAATGAATGAGTGAATGGTTTATTATAGTGCAACCTTTATATATATATACAATACTAAATATCAAGTAAAAAAAGAGAAAGTATCATATAGCAATAAAATTTCAATTAAAAAAAAATTTTCATGTCTAAAAATTCATTGTTTCATGGTACTCAATGAATTAGTCCCAGTTGTTTCTTTATATCAAGGTGATAGATATTTTTAACAAAGTTATCTAACAAATAGTCTGTTACTGCATAGTTTTCTCATTTTGGTATATTTTTTCTGTCTGCTGTGCCATTTGTGCATCTGTAGTTATTATCGTAAAAATGCGGATTTGTGTCATATCCGGTCCGGTTCCGATCGGTAGTTTACACAAAAGAAGTCAATGGGGGCCGAAGAAAAATTAACGAAAATAAACAATGTTTGACAAGAGATTGGGAACGAATGTGACGCTTTTGATGTATTAAATGGATGAAACATAAACTTAAGCCAACTTATTTAGCCCAAAACCGATATGTTCGCTCTCGATTAACAAGTAGTACCGGCGGAAGAGAAAGAAAGTAATTTTATGAAAGTTGTAAAAATAAACGACCAAACCTCATTTTTAAAGAGAAAAATCGTTTGTATCTTTGAATTTCCGTAATGCAAAAGGTAGATTTCGAATTGTATGATTACATTTTTTCCATGTCTTAATTTGCGATTGCAGACAGACCACGTGGTATTAATCATGTCACAAGTGTCAGCTTGGGGTATTCGTATCCAAACAGTTATCACCCAAAGGGCAATTAACACCTATTTAATCACTCTTAAATGCCTCTATTGTCCGATTTGAAGGGATTACACTTAAAGGTGATATAATTTTTATGATCATAGGCGGTAATTAGATGAAAGTTCAAAATTTAGGACATGGATTTATGATATAGAAACAAGAAAAATAGCATCCTCAAAATAATTATAGCGTCGCGGAAATTATTATAGCATCACAGGAAAAAATATAGCGTCGCGGTACCGCGACGCTAAAACGGCCTGGGGAGAACACTGATCCTACACAGCCTTTTATCTTAACCAGTAGTGGTATTTAGTTCATTCAGACTACATTAGAGCTATCACAGTCCATCCTACACAGCCTTTTATCTTAACCAGTAGTGGTAAGTTCATTCAGACTACATTAGAGCTATCACAGTCCATCCTACACAGCCTTTTATCTTAACCAGAAGTGGTTAGTTCATTCAGACTACATTAGAGCTATAACAGTCCATCCTACACAGCCTTTTATCTAACCAGTAGTGGTAAGTTCATGTAGGGAACTATAAAGTAAGTAAGGTCCATCACTATGATGCGGGTTATTTTTGCGGGCAGGGCTCGACATTACTGTTTGTCCGATTGTCCGGGACAAGTGGACACAGGCGTCGGGCAAGTAGATTCACCATACTACTTGTCCGATGGGACAAGTGAAAAAATCGAGGTCAGATGTAAAATAGATCAAATTCAAGACTTATACATTCCCAAAAATATGAATGATTGTTTTATTGATCATACTACATGAAATAAATATTCATTGATTGAACCAAAGACATATAATACTTGTATAATATGTCTCTGATTGAACGTATTTGAACATGCTGGCAGCCATTGACGAGGGGAATATAAGTAAGGGGGAAAGAAACCAATGTTAATGCTTCTTCTTACATTGTAGTGTAAGCCTCCTTGAATTAGGAGCACCTCCATATGGATCTTTACCACAACTTTAAAATTTTAAATTAAAGTACGTTTCATTTGATTTTGCTTTTATGCATAACAATACATTAAAAGAGGTTTTATTTAATAAGATCTATATATAAAAATAATAAGTTAAGATGTAAAAATTAAATAAAATCTAAGAAGGCAGATTTTTTAGTGAAATGTTTTATGTACTTCATGATCATATATCAATGTATATACAAATCAAAACAAATTGTAAAAGCTTGTTTTGACACCATCATTCAGTAAATTATAAAGGTTTAATCATATACAAGGTGGCCAGGTGTATTTACATCCTTGGTGTAACCCATACCACCACTACAGAATGAATAGGTCCATCGGAGAACCTAGTGGTTTGGGAAGAAATGATGATTTAACGATCGACACATGATAGTGACATTCAGTCAGAGAACTCAGTCTTGCAAATAATATTTCAGTCTGAAATAATAGAATGAATTTTGATGTGGTATTCATATAATATAACAAAATGTTCCCTTTATTAGGTACAATCAAAGCGCAAGTGTTATTATTGCATATCATCAATATGTAAGATTTCCAATTATGAATTCGGACAAGTGAGTTAAGAGTTCGGACAAGTTGATTTTCTTGCAACTTGTCCGAAGGGACAAGTTAGAAAAAATGATAATGTAGAGGCCTGGCGGGGTGTTAATTTTTGCTTATTTTGGCGGATAAATGAAAATCGCGAATTTAAATTCCACGAAAATTTAGGGATACCTTCGGTACTTTCTAATAGTTAAAGCGTTTTGCAAACGATCTTATTTTGTCCGGTCAGCAGATCAATAACGGTATAGGTTAGTTTTAACAACATAAATGCGAAAGGGCATTGTACATACATGTATTTTAGAAAATGGTTATCAGGAGTGTATGCACTTATTAATTAGTGTCAAATAAAGTAAGTGTAAGGTACTCTTGCAGATAATTATCCTTATTAATTAGTGTCAAATTATATAGATGATATATGAGTTGTAAGTCACTCTTGATAATTTTACAATCTAATTAGTAGGTACATCAAAGGTCCGTTCAATTTCGTACCTAATCAACCGTACAATTTGTATACCTGTGACAAATATCTAAGTAACCGGTTTTCTATTGATTAGCTGTATCTGAATATCATCAATAAATAAGAAGTCATTCAGGTAAAAAAAATCATTTAACCATTTAACAATAGACACTTGTATGTCAATTTTTACATCTTTTTTTAACTGCAAAAATTTCAGTACCCGCCAAAATATTTAGTTGGGATTTAAGAATCCACCAAAATAAAAACCGCCAAAATTTTTCGTATACTTTGTTGCCCCTAAATCGCGACATTTTACATCCGCGAAAATAACCCGCTATACAGTATATGATAAACTAGACCCATTTCTGACTTTATAAGACCTTTAGCAGTTCATCCTATACAACCCTTTTATCTAACCAGTAGTGGTAAGTTCATGTAGGGAACTATAAAGTAAGTGGGGTCCATCACTATGTATATAAGCTAAACAAGGCCCTTTATTTTGCAGCCCATTCAGACTTCATAGATCTTTATCAGTACTACACTAGGGTTAATATAATAGACTTGCTAGAGAAAGTCTATCCATTTGAAGCCCTTTCATTTCATTACATTAGGCCTAGCAGTCCATCCTACATAACCCGTTAAAACTCAATGGCAGCGGTAGTTACTAAGGGATAAGACATTAAGACTAGAGAGTCAATCTGTAAACAACAGAGGACAATATAGTTGAATGTATTAGTTTGATAGCAGTCCATCCTACACAACTCATTATCTAGATCAACAGTTGGAAGTATTTATGGGGACTTCAGACTAAAGGAGATCAGTTGCTAGATGTCTTGCTGTATCAGTTTGAGGCATGTTAAAATTACCAATATCTGAAATATTTAATGAGCTGTTATAAATGACATTGAGAACAGGAACAATTACACAGGGTTTTTTTTATGGACCAACTCATTGTATATGGGGTTACTTTGTTATTTCAGATGATATGTTGATCAAGTTGTGGGACTGGGAGAAAAAATGGACATGCACACAGGTTTTTGAAGGACATACTCATTATGTGATGCAGATTGTAGTAAACCCAAAAGACAACAATACATTTGCCAGTGCCTCTCTAGACCGAACAGTCAAGGTAATTAATCCTTCAAACAACACCATATTTGCTAGTGATTCAATAGGCTACAATTAAAAAATAATGGCATTAAAAAAACTGAATTAATTATTATTAGGTGTTTCTTGACATGATAAGTTCCAGTTTTCATGTGAGTTTTACTGTTTGTTGATTTGTGTAATTTTTTGATATAAGTAAATATTGTGCAATTGTTTGGCAGTAAAATTCATTGTGAGCATTCCTATTTTTTTTTACAAATTATTGTTATTTGCTTGGAAATGCATAATGAATGAAATATTTGTGTTTACAATAACCTTATCAATTATAGGTATGGCAACTAGGATCTCCAACACCAAACTTTACCCTAGAAGGCCACGAGAAAGGAGTTAACTGTGTTGATTATTATTCAGGGGGAGATAAACCTTACTTAATATCAGGAGCTGATGACAGATTGATCAAAATATGGGATTATCAGGTAAATTAACAAGATGATAAAGAGATGTACAAAATGGAATTATATTTGAACAGGGCAAGTCTTCAACTTCTTCTTTTCAATGACTAGCTGCCAATAATCTGTTTGCCCTTTAAAGATTCAGTAGGGTATAGAAATAGAACTAGATTAATAAACCAGGATGATGTGTTACATAGAAATTTTTACTTATCCTCCAGGAATCCATATGCCTCAGGCCAGGTGTAGAGTTGTTGTTTTATTTCTTATATCATGAATAAAAGTTGAGGTGGAGAAGAGTAAATTTAAGATAGCTAACATTTACCAAATCATACATTAAGAGGTTAATGTATAATCACAGTGAGGGCAGGTGCCCTAAACATTATATGACTCATTTGTATGTTACTGTGTGGTCCCAATTAATGGATATATGCCTTTTTCATGAAGCAATTCAACTAGAGGTCATTTCATGATCACAACTTATTGCCAAGTGTCTTACTATAAGCCAACTTGAACACAGTTAGAGGTTGTAGTTGTAATCTATATTGATAGGCAAGTACACTAACCAGTAGGCAACACCTAAAAAGTAACTGTATGGTTTCCATTAATGTAAAAGTGTTTTAACCATTAGGCCACAAATCTAGAGATCACTGTATGATCCCAGTTGAAAGGCAAGCATTCTAACCTCTAGGGAAACTTTAAATTCTTAAAAGTCTTTACAATGTGTAGATAAAGTCTATACAATGTGTAGATAAAGTCTATACAATGTGTAGATAAATTCCATACAATGTGTAGATAAAGTCTAAACAATGTGTAGATAAATTCTATACAATGTGTAGATAAATTCTATACAATGTGTAGATAAATTCCATACAATGTGTAGATAAATTCCATACAATGTGTAGATAAATTCCATACAATGTGTAGGTAAATTCTATACAATGTGTAGATAAATTCAACAGAAACAAACAGGTATTAAACAACATCAAATTATTAGACCAAAATCAACATGTAGAGATAAATTTATTCATGGAGAGACAAGCACAAAATAAAATATACCTGTTTATAGTAATCCAATATCCAGAAGATTTGGCCCCTCTCCTAATCAATTTATTGCAGTTTTTCAAACACGTTTAAAGGGTTAAGTAATAATTTCTTTTACAGAATAAAACATGTGTACAGACTTTAGAAGGGCATGCTCAGAATATCTCAGCAGTCAGATTCCATCCAGAACTACCCATAATTCTCACAGGAAGTGAAGATGGTTTGTACAATAAATATTATAGAAAATTGATAAAAAAAACAAAAAAATTTAGCATTTTATCATAATGAAAGACAATTTTATTTTTCGTTGTTTTATGTTTCAAACAGTTTTAATAACCATTCTACACAGATATCATTCTATTTAGATTAATAATTTTTAAGTTTTTGAGATAATTACTGATTTAAAGAGAACTAGTATCTATTATGGAAGGGGAGATAACTTAAATAATTTGAAATATTTGAAGAGATTATTTTGGTTAACAATGTTTACAGAACTCACATACCTTTCATATACTTGAATAGCGAAAGAGAAAAAATGCATGGTTAGATGATCATGAACTTATTCAATATTTAAGGTCACCTAATTTAAGTCAGAATTTTTGAACAATTCATGTAATTTTGAAGGAATGCCATTAGTATAATACAAAGAATTCTAACTGTTTCATTTTTGGAAATATGAAAAAGTCAGTTGTAAGGTAAACATCTACAACCCAACATCAAAAACTAACAAAATCAACATCAAGATACAGTCTCACACTTAGTTGAACTATAACTTTTTTCAGGTACTGTGAGGGTATGGCATGCCAATACATACCGACTGGAGAGTACATTAAACTATGGCTTAGAGAGAGTATGGACTATAGCCTGTCAGAGGGGCTCCAATAATGTAGCTTTAGGTTATGATGAAGGAAGTATAATGATTAAGGTTAGCACACATATGATACATTTATATATATTATAAAATGATTAGATCATCTCGGAATGAGAGTGCTATGTAATTAAAGTCAATTTTATTTTTTGCTGTAAATTCAGAAATTTTTAGTGCATTTATTTTTGTGATTCCTGAAGGAAAGACAAAAATGCAAGATTAACTATTGTTATTTCAGGAATGCTGCATATAAATAATGCTATCATTGCCAAACTAATCTTGTCACAATTTTCCTCTATATTGAAAACGTCATAAAAAATTCTGAATTTACATGGTAAAAAAATCACTAATAATTTGGTTTCAATTTAATAGTTTGAAAACATGGTATATGTATGTTACTTATTTATCTAGATATCATAACAAAATTAAATAAGTTTACTGAAGGGAACATACTGCAGTACCTTAGTTTCTGTTAATTTTAATTTATAAAGCAAAACAAGATGCTTGTTTATCTATTGTTTATTAAAGTCGAACCTCCTCGTGTCGAACTTGGATGAGTCAAAGTAATTTCCTTGGTCCCGGTAAAATACCCGTTTGATCAATGCATAATTACCTTTGATGAGTCGAACTCGGTTGATTCAAATACACGGTTAAGTTGAGTAAATTTTATAGTCCCGTCGAATTATAATTAATGTAAATTGACCCCGATGTCTTGGAAGTTCGAAAGTAAGAATTTTCAAAAGATGCAGACCTAATGATAAAAATTAAAATCGGATGTATTTCTTATGTAACCTAATCATTTTCAAAAGAGATTAAAGCTGAGTAAACATACTTGTTTGTATAACAGTTAAAATGACATGTTTATGGTGACAGGTAATTAACACCTTGTGTGATCGTCCAAGCGAAACGTTAGTGTGTTGAACATATTTCACCCGATATAAAAACGAAACAATTTTAAATGACCCAAGCCAAGATTAAATGAATCATTAGAGTTGAAATTCATTAATTACAATAAATAAAGTTAAGACGATTATGATAAAATTATAATAATTTGATGTAAAGCAGACAACCTCATCAGAGACAGTACTTATTTCGTTCCGAGAGTGATTTCATAATTTATAGTGACTGACCTTTGTAAATATTTGTGTATACTATTGATTTTATTTGTGTATGATTTGTATCTGTACTCGAATGTTTAATCATTATGAAGTACCAAGCAATATGGAGATTCAATGCGCAATCATAAAGTGTCATATCGAAAAAAGGCAAATTGTTCAAGGTATCTAGTTTACACAAATCTCATACCGTTATTCATGCATTCCAAATTTATTACGACACACTCAACCTCGGATGAGTCGAACCTCATATACTTTGGTCTGGGCGCTTAACCTTCAACATAACGAGGTTCGACTGTATTTGTTGTCCAAATTGCAGAGTAGAATTTTTTCATGTCAAAACTTGCAAATCAAATTTGTAGATCTGTGTTTAAGACTTTTCTCTGAACTGGTAAATTTGCATCTAACAGTTAAACAACTTTCATGATATTTTTCACCATAGAGAAAAAAATCTGAATATTCTTTATTTACATAGTTGGGAAGAGAAGAACCAGCCATGTCTATGGATAGTAGTGGTAAAATCATCTGGGCTAAACATTCTGAGATCCAACAGGCCAATATCAAAGCCATAGCAGACCAAGAGATCAAAGATGGAGAAAGGCTACCACTGGCTGTTAAAGATATGGGAAGTTGTGAGATCTATCCACAAACCATAGCTCACAATCCCAATGGAAGGTAACTATAACAATAATCCCAACCAGAAGTTACTGCACATGAATATGTGTACAGACCAGGGCTTCCAAAACGGTCATATTTTCCGGACTTGTCCGATAAATTATATAAATGACTTGTTGTGTCGAAGCTGAAACGAACATTTTAATAACATATTTCAGAAAAAAAAATAAAGTTCATGCGATCTTCTCAGTTTTGACCTCTTAAACAGACACACATTTCCGGTCATAAAAGTGACATGATGAATAATTACTATCAAAACACACCCTACTTAAATACCCTCATTACAATCAAGGCTAATTAGTTCCCTGACAGCTTAATTTACCTGTTCAGGCGACAGGTAAACTATTTAGTACCGGACATTGATCGGTCTAATAAAAGTTATTTTCTTAAATTTCAGCGGTTTGCATCTAAATAATTTAGTCAACAAGATTCACATTACCAGAAAACGTATATAAATATTATTTGATGAAAATTTAAAAAGGTAGTTGTAAAGGTTTTAAGTGAAAAATTGTCAGAACCACGTTGTTTAAACTAGTACACTCGTGCGCATGCGCAGGTGTGAGATTTATTTATGCATCCGATTTTTCAAAAATGCTAAAAATATCATTGATACATTTATCTAAAGTTCATTTTGAGTTTTTCCTATAGAAATAAAGTGGAAAGAGATACTTGAATAACTCAATCGTGCTTTGAAACGTACACAGATTTTACAGATCCGTCTCTGGTCCGTGTTTTACCATTGTCAAGTCAACATCCGGTATGAGGAAAATGTACTTTTCAAAAACGAATGAAGTTATGACAGCGTTATTTTGCACAAATAAAGAGTCTTAGGCAGATATTAGTAAGCTGATGTTGCACACTTCGAATGGTGCACTGTCAACTTAACAGTTTATGTCAGAACATCGAAATTTATATTAAAAAATTAAGTCAAATACCGTTTTTGTGTCAATCATAATTCATATGATGCCGAACTGATTACTATGGTTTTCTTTTGTTACTAAGTCTTAAGGGATAAAAATCGGGATGAGACAAAAAAAAATGTCTGGCTGGCTCAAATATTTTTTGGAAGCCGTGGTACAGACTATAGTTCACAATTGCTAACAGGTAATCATGTTTGTCCACAACTCAAATGACAAAAAACACTATTGGGTAAACATCTAATGAGACCAACTCAACAACACAAATGCTAAGTAACCACTTGTGAAAAAATGTAACAATTCAAATGACAAAACCAAGGCACTGTTTAATGATGAAAGACAGCAACCAACTGCAACCACTGAAAATTGTCTATTTGTGTACAAAAAACTATATCTGACATTGTCTATTAGTACTTTCAGCACTTTGATCTTGTTTCAGGTTTGTGGTTGTTTGTGGAGATGGAGAATATATCATTTATACAGCTATGGCTCTAAGAAACAAAAGTTTTGGTTCAGCTCAGGAGTTTATATGGAGTAATGACTCATCAGTGTATGCCATTAGAGAAAGTTCTAGCATGCTCAAAATTTACAAAAATTTCAAAGAGCAAAAGGCTTTCAAACCTGACTTTGGAGCTGAAGGTAATTTAGTCTTTAGAATAATTCTATTCTCTCTAACGAATGATATAATATATCTAAATACATTAAGATCAGCTATTTAAACTGTCAATGACATGGATCTTCATGTGAGTTTTGCTTCAGCTTCAGTTATTTGGGTTTTTTCTAGGATTTTAAAAGTTGTTATCATTGTTCTTCACAGAAGTTATCAAGTCATTAGGGAGTCCACTTGTCAGTTAGTTTGTTCATAATAGGATAGTTAACTCTTCATATGTATGTTTAAAGACCAGTCAAAATGAAATGATTTCTATTTGGTGTAAAGGTTGCATTCCTGCAATCAAACCCATATGTGACTAGCTTGACAGTTATCAATTTTTTCTGATTTTATCACTACTTTTGATATAAACAAAACATAGTGAATTGAGCACAACATTCTTATACATTCAACCTATGAAAATTTCAAGAAATTTATCATTGAAATATATACTTAGATACTCAGGTTACAAAATGATGTGTATGTCTATAAACATGCTTGTCAAGAAAATTACATGAATTGTGCATGGTGCATGAAGCTAGTATCTGTTTTAAAAATATCAATGATGTCATTGCTACAGTAATATTTTTAAATTGGAGTTATCTTCCTTTATATATTCAATTCATAGCGATGCCTTTTGATGCTCTAATAATACATTGAAATGTTTAGTTGTTAGTTTCCACTGCAAAATGAATGGAATCTTTACCTTTCGATGCTCACAAGCACTGTGATTTCTCATTATTAAATAATTATTTTAGTATTTACTGTGGATTCATTATTATTCGTCGGATACCAATTTTCGTGGATTTCGTGGGTACAGGTGAACCACGAAATTAAATGTTCAACGAATGACAAATTTTCTATAGGCTTCTATGCAGACTTCGGCTAAACCACGAAATTAAACATCCACGAATATGTAAATTTTCCTTAATCCACGAAAATTGGTACCCACGAAAATAAATGAATCCACAGTAACAAGAAATTTTGAGGTCAATTTTGCTTATAAGCCTGCTCATTTAGAGTGAAAGCCACATGAAATATGTATCTGGATTTTTAGATATTTATAAAATGTATTTTCATGTTTTAGGTCTTTATGGAGGAAATATGTTAGGAGTAAGATCTGTGAGTGGACTGGCATTTTATGACTGGGAAACAACAGAACTAGTTAGAAGGATTGAAATCACGCCTAAAAATGTAAGTTTACTTTGGAGTAAGATCTGAACAGACCACACTTAGAGGACCATCAGCTCAGTAGTCAGTGCTTCAAAAGATGACATGATTTGAATGATACATTTTGTCTGTGAATTAACACTACTGAAACTACTAATGATAAATAAACTGATCATATATGCCAGGATTAAACTTTTGTACACCAGAAATGAGTATTGTCTTCAAAAGACTCGTTAGTGACACTTGTTTTATTTAGGCCCCGTTGTTTTATATGGTCTAAAACATTTTATATTTTTGACTTTGCAAATATTCAGTCTCCAACTCACCTGATGAAGGTAATCCAGAAACAATGAGACATGAACACGGAAAAAGTAACATACTTTTTTATATACATCTTTTATTATTCTGTAAATTTTGCATGTGTTTGATTACAGATATTTTGGAGTGAGAATGGTGAACTGGTATGTATAACCACAGAAGAGTCCTTCTTTATATTAAAATATAACCAGGAAGCAGTAGACAATGCCAGATCTTCTGGAGGTAAAGAGGACATCACAGAGGATGGTATTGAAGATGCTTTTGAGGTACATATATTTATATAGCCTTAGATATTGAATGTCTACAATAACTGTTAGTTCTTAAGTGTTTTTCCTGCATGTTTGGAAGTTTTCAAAACACATGATACCAACAAATGAACAAAGGAAGATATCAAAAGATGGTAGCATCTAAAGATGCATTTACTTAATTTTTACAATGCCTACCCACCTTAACTGTTGAAAATGTTTATAATTTTCCCCCCAAAGTATAAATAAGTTACATCCCCTGAACACATTGAAGAGCAGCAAAATAGCCTTGAAAGGACTTCTGATTTCAAATACAATCAAATTATTTATTTAAAGCTAATCCATCCATGGTGAGTAAGAAAACAAATTGAACAGTACGCAAGATAATTACAATCTGTAAAATGGAGGGTGGGAAATTTGCACTCTCACTTGAAGAAAAATGATTAAGGGACGAAATTATTCCAACAGGCCAACTCTTATAAAGTAGCAGTAATCATTCTTGAATAAGCAGAGAGATTGGGACTCTCTTAACCTGCTGTATCAGATTTAACATCTCCATCCCAACTGTACTATAACTGATAGAACTATTATTTTATGTATTGTAGGTGATAGGTGAAATAGAAGAAACAGTCAAAACTGGAATCTGGGTTGGAGATTGTTTTATATATACTAACAGTGTTAATAGACTGAATTACTATGTTGGTGGAGAAATTGTCACTGTAGCACATTTAGACAGGTGAGATTTACTGTAAAGTAATTAGACAATTAGCCTTGATGATTACGGAGAAATTGTAACTTGAGTATATTTAGACATGACAGGATTGAGTTAATGCCACTTTTTAGAAATTCCAATTACACAATTTCAGTATATATTAACAGAGGAGATCTGTCATCACTGTTCTTTATCTTGACAGTTTTCTTCAACAAATTATAAGTTGAAGTGTTCACACCTTACAAAAAAACAATTAAGACCTTAGACCCTTTATCCTGTAATATTTATTAAAGTCAATCTGATTTAAGACTTAACAAACTTGTGCATTTAGCTGTCCAAACTTGTGGTAGCAAGGATACTTTATAAAAAAAAGTGTTGTGCATGGTGAAATCAGTATTGTAAGGTTCGAGTTTCAGTAAAATAATTTAAACAGGTTATAACATGAATATTATTTTCCTTATTTCAGAGTGATGTATCTCCTTGGTTATATACCTAAAGACAACAGATTGTATTTGGGCGACAAAGAATTAAATATAGTCAGTTTCTCATTACTGTTATCTGTGTTAGAATATCAGACTGCTGTTATGAGGAGGGATTTTGAAACAGCTGATAAAGTTTTACCCACAATTCCTCGAGAACACAGAACAAGAGTGGCTCATTTTCTTGAAAAACAGGTAACAATCATTATTCATGTTCACATAGGATCACATCTTTGAATGACTTTTTGTTGTAAATTATACTTTGTAGTATTTAAGATTGTAAATAACAAATTCATAAATAAGATATGCTTATAACATTTATAAAGACAATGACTCTCAAGGTTCCTTTCATGCTGAATCTTTTTTATTTCAGGGATTTAAATCACAAGCCATGGCTGTGACCTATGACCCTGAACATAAGTTTGAGCTGGCTTTACAGTTGGGAGAATTAAAAGCTGCTTATGAAATAGCCAAAGAAACTGAGGTAAGTTCTGTGACAGAATTTAATATGAAAACAAAGAAGTCATTCCAATTCCTAATTTCTATGAATACATATAACTTGAAACTTTCTACACAAGGTTAATTTGAAACTTTCTACACACTGTTCATTTGAAACTTTCTACACGAGGTTTTTGTCTCGCCTGTGATGAAATTCGCAAAAAGCGAGACATAGGCCATGCCCCTAGGTCATGGACCAGTGACTTTGAATTAATTAGCAATTTTCAATGTTACGTTTTCTGCTTAAGTTATATTGATAGGAACTACTTACAATAAACAACGATATTTTCTATAAGGTTACATTACTGTCTGTACATCTCAGTTTGTCGACCATTTTGAGGCCTTGCCCACTAGATCATGGTGCAGCAACTTTGAATTAATAAGCAATGTTGCTGTTATCAGATTGTCTTTTTCTGAATTTTATGCCAACAGGCGAGACATATCTCTGTATCAACTGTTTATTGTGTTTTGTTTTTTACCTGAGTGTAGGATAATTATGCTTGTTTCTCTTGTGAGAAGATTTCAGAGAAAACCTCTGAAAAACTTTAATTTAGGTCTTTAATTGAAGCTGACCACTCAGATAGATAAATTGTTGTCAATGTTTTAATAATAAATTGGCTTTAATTATACTTGCTTATTTCAACAGGTAAAGTTTTATTGTAAAATACATATTAGACTAAAGGGTCATAATCTTATTCTTGATATTTTTTTCAGAGTGAACAAAAATGGAAACAATTAGCAGAATTAGCCATTAGTAAATGTGAGTTTGGACTGGCCCAGGAATGTCTACACAATGCCAATGATTATGGTGGTCTCTTACTACTTGCCACCTCTGCAGGAAATGTTGGCATGGTGGCCAAACTAGCACAGACAGCTGAAAAATCTGGACAAAATAATGTGGCATTTTTATCGTACTTTTCACTGGGAAGGTTGGTGAAATTATAATTATGGAGGCTAAAAAAAAAAAAAAGTAAAATCACAAAAATACTGAACTCCGAGGAAAATTCAAAAAGGAAAGTCCCCAAACAAATGGCAAAATCAAAAAAACAAACACATCAAACGAAACTAGGATAAAAGCAAGAAAATATGTTTAGGCTTTTAGGGAATGTTATTTATGATTTTGATTGAATCTTAAAAATTTCACAATATTCAAAAACAAATAGAAATATTGGCATATGTTGGACTACTTGTTTGGAAGTAAAATTCTGCACACAAATTTTTGACTGAAATTCCTTTTTCTCATTTCCAAAATACATGGTTTATTTGTTATCTAAATTCATCAGATATAACACCTGTTTTGATTGGCTTTCACTCTTGGCTAGTGTTACTGTAAACCTATAGCAGTGTCCCATTCAACAGTTAAATCACATAGAATGTCTTTCCTTCACTCTTATTTATAAACGTTACATCATAATGAGTATAATCCTTATCAGATATAATGCATGTTTAAAGTTTCTAGTCAACACTTTATTGTAATTTTTCTAACCAAAAGAATGTTTGGACTTTCTTATCAAAACTTTATCATAATTATTTACAGGTAAGAAGTATGTTGAGATGTTTGATTCAAAACTTTATTGTATTTCTTTCAGACTAGAAGAATGTTTAGAAGTTTTAATTAACACAGGTAGATTACCTGAAGCTGCATTCTTCTCCAGAACATACCTACCTAGTCAGGTGTCCAGGTAACAAGCTTATCACAATTAAGTCTGGAAATTTTATTTAATATGCAGATTTCAATGCTGTACACAGAAAATATCATTCTTTTGATGACTGCAGAGTTTTTATGACCATCTACATTTGTAGGGGCATTATTATTCTAGTCTTTGCATCAGTCCTGTTTCTGAGTACTGTTTAAGTTTAAGGTAGTAAATCATAAAGTTATGGTCACATCAGGTCTCATGTAACTTATCATGTGAGCTTTTTAAGATAAACATCAAATTAGGTAAATCTGAACTGATTACCACAATTCACCATTTCAGAATCTAATGCATTCTCGGTATTATTTTCAAAAGTGTACACCAAAACATTTTGATTGGCTAAGAATGTTCTAAACAATAGAAATTTGACCAATGACATTTTCATTTTGGGGTACGAACAACGAAATTACCCACAATTCTTCAGAATTTGAAAGGGCGAATTGTACAGACCTAATTAATAAATCTGATTTCTTACAAACAGCTGTAAAAATATAAAGTTTTAAACTTATACAGGAGGGTCCTTCATTTCTGTATTCTTTAATTTTTAGGCCATTGTTCTCTATTCTTTATACTTCGCCCGTTATTCTCTAATCTTTATATTTTAGCACCTCATTAATCTCTATTCTTTATTTTTTGCCCATTATTTTCTAGTCTGTAAACCCCCATCCACACCCTCATACAGTCATACTATTATCTTGTTTTCTTTACAGAGTAGTACAATTATGGCGGGAGAATTTAGGCAGTGTAAACAACAAGGCAGCTAACTCACTGGCTGATCCTGAGGAATATGAGAACTTGTTCCCTGGCTTTGTTGAGGCACAGAAAACAGAACAGTTTCTACGACCACAGAGAAAAAGTTTAATACCCGCTAATAAATACCCACAAGTTCCTGTAAGTTTTATGAATTGTTAATTAGAGTTGGAGTTTTGTATCAATTGATTTACTTTCAGCTTTATTAAGGCCCCTGTTACAGTTGAGGATTCAAAGACTAAAGATTTTAGTTCTAATCATTCATCATTCATTCGGGTGTATGGGTTTAGGCATGTTTTATAATTCCAATAAATTGTGAGATTCTCAATGTCTTGAAAAAAATAATTTTTTTATTAGTGGAAGTGAAAAACATTTTATGACACTTTTAACAAAAATACAGGTTAATCATATTGTCGCTAGGTTTCCAAAATGATGTATATGACTTTTTTGCAAAATCTACTTTTTTACATAAACCGGCTTGGCGGGAAGAAATCTCTGATGTTCCAAAATAACACACATTTAGACCAATCAAAAACATATGACAAAATTGCCAATCTCAATTATTTGTAACATTTGCTTCCAAAATGTTTGTTTGTAAACTTGAAAATGGTTGTTTTATGGCTTTTGGAATAAAAAAACTTGTAGATTTCTTTATTTCAGTGAAAATAATGTTAGTTTTTTGTATTATCCAGACATGTCCAAGTTTTTATTTCACAGCCATTTACAAAAATGTTCAAGTTCACATACAACATCTTGGAAGCAAATATTTCAAACCAAATTTTCAAAGCCTCTTTGTGAGATTTTTTGTTGTGGAAAATTTGTAATTTACTACATTTTGGTGGCCCAGCAACGATATGAACATCACCCTGTTGAAGTGATACCAATAATTACACTGGAACAAGTTCTTCTAGCCATATTTTACTTGCATTGAGTGTTAGAGGGGGCATTAAGATGAAGAACAGTAATATAAGTGCTGTTCCTTAACTTTTGGTTTCATGGGTGCCAGTAGGTATATATTGTGTCATATTATAATACACCATATATAAAAATAAGAAGATGTGGTATGATTGCCAATGAAACAACTATCCACCAGACACCAAATGATGTAGATCTCTTCTTTTCCATCTTTTATTCAAGTCTTATCCAGACTAAATCTTGTTGAAGAGTGGCAACTATTACACTAATAATCTTTTTTCCAGTCTAATCATGAACGTAATCCAGTAGAAGAGATGCAGGCTGCTCAACAAAGTGGTTCATTTGTTTTTGTATCAGATACATTACAAGAAAATGAGGAGGAAGAGGAAGAGGATTTTAAAGAGGCAGAGGATGATCTAGTATCTCAAGTAACACAGGTACTGACTGATATAATACCATATGTAAAGTTTGGGGAAGGTTTGGGCATTATCAATCCATTCTCCATGTTGGCACTCTTATTGAGGAATATTATATGATTGCCAATGAGACAACTATCAACCAGAGTTTAAATAATGTGGATGTAATTAAGCAATTATAGATCACCGGATGACCTTCAACAATGAGAAAAACCCAGTACCACTATTAAAGGCCCCGACATGGCAAAATGGAAAATATTTCAGTAGGGGAAAACTAATGGCAGAATTTATAACAAGTAATTTAAGAAAAAGAATTAATTTACATTGGAAAAATTGAAGAAGTTTTGTTTTTAAAAACAGTGTACCTATGAACCAAAGTGATAAAACATCTAATAGTGTAGAGGAATTGTTCTCTATTATTTTGGTGTTTCATTACAGAAGCCTGCTACACCCAAACAGTCTACAGAACCTCCTCCTGAACCATCAGGGAAACCTCTATCCCAGGCAGGCATGGATGATATAGAGAAAGAATTAGAACTGGATTTAGAAAATATGAAATTTGATGACGATATAGATACTTCTGTAAGTTGATATAAGGATTGTTTGTTGTTGGTTGGCAACAGATGGTAGTATGTGTTGGAGGATTCAGAGAGTTAGAGCTTGCTTTATAGGAAGAGTGGCTGCTCATAGTCTATGGTGACCTTTAAACATTCATATTTTGTTATTAAGTGTTGTTAGGTGACTGTCATGTTGATGTTTACCTTTTTATCGTCTTGTTTTAGATATTATTGTTCATTTTTGTCATAGATTATATATTATAGAATCTAGTTTCCATTAGAGTTAGTAGATTTCCATTTAACCCAAATGTAAATTTGGTAAATTACATTATGTCTACTTAATTATTACTTTTTAGGGGATTGATGACCAAAAAATTTTAACAGAGGTAAGAAAGGGCACCTGTTTTCTGCATGGCAGTTTTATAGTTACTGTAGTTTTAGTTAGTTATTTTAAAGAATTAATTGATTACTTCCCTTTGGAACGAGTTGCATTAAATTGAATTGACATGTATTCAAGGAAATAAGGTGTACATTGAACCACCCTTCTCTGTCTATCCTTCAGATAATTATTTTAACAGAGCCTAAACTTTTTAATATTCTTTAATATACAAGTATTATTTCGATGGAAATGACACCAGAGGGTATCCTGGGATATTAAAATTGGTTGGCAATGAATCTCTCACATTGGTTGTAGTGTATGTATTGATATGCAGCCACTACCAGCTAGAAAAGGGACATTAAATCCTCTTGCATTGAAAGTGCCACAATCTATTGCATGTAATGTCCCTTTGTCAGATAATTTGATTCATCAAAAACATTTAAAAAAACTGTATTTATTTTAAGTTGTTATATTACATATATATTTTCTCACATTTGGACAATTAATGTCTCTACAGTGATGCTCAAGATATCAAAATATTTTTAAAATTCAAAACCTTGAATAACTATTGAAAAGCCTATATGTTGAAAAGTAAACACAAACCTAGACAATTGATTGAGCTATGCATTGGGGATTTATATGCCTAAACGTTTCAAATTTTTTTTCTCCCAATTCTGATTTATTACTTGAATCAAAAACTTGTGATTGGTTGAGGATTTGTTTGTTGGGCTTATCCCTTATTATAACATGTTAACAGTACCAAAAGTAATACTTTAAAGTTTATATTGGTTTAATTATTCTTTTGGTCTGTCTTTAAGATTTTCATATATTGCTTATAATATTTATTCTTTACTGGTGCCTGAAAAAAAGTCATTAAATATTAATTTTGGCTGAGGCATTTATAACCTTAGGATTTTAAATCTAATTTGATTAGAATTTGTTTTATTTCCTCCATGTCATGCTGTATGCTAAATTAAACCTGTTAGGTGTTTTGTTTTCCATTCTAATGCACTTTGTTTGTTACAACAATTTTGATTGGATGACATAATATATATTGTGAGTGTGTAAAATCCACGGTTTTCCTGTCTGTAACTAAGGGAAGCCACCATTTTGAACTCCAGAAATTAATTTGTATGTTATAAACAAATTAATAAAATGTCTCACCTGAAATCTCCTTTTTGTCAAATTTATATCATTCTGAAGCGCACAAACGTCTGCTGTTTATATTTGAAGCCAGAAACATACCTATGACCAGCAAAGACCAAGTTTTGATGAATTTTTGATTGATTGTTAAAAAGAAAAAATGAATAAAACGGAGTGTATTGTATTTTAAGCTTGGCCTATGAAAAACATAGTAAAAGAGAGGCAAAAGATACCAAAGGGACATTCAAACTCATAAGTTGAAAATAAACTGACAACGCCATGGCTAAAAAAGAAAAACATCAAAAGACAAACAACAGTACACAAAACACAACATATATAGAAAACTAATGACCGAGCTACACAAACCCCACCAAAAACCAGGGGGTGATACGCCAAGCTTAGATTACAATATAGTTATCCCCTAAGTATTTTAGATACAAAACAGTTAATTATTCAACACTTGGTGGGATAATATTGACAAATATAATGTCTTATCTATGTTATAATTCATTATTACATTGGTTGCAATGAATTACTGTAATTTCCCAGTGAAATAAAAACCGATAATTTCACATGTGAAATAAACTCAATAATGTATCTCCTCTGACGTCATACAACAATAGGTGTTAAGACGTTGTCGATGATGTTGCATCAAAGCAAATTTTAAATGCTTAGAAAAATATATAGTTCCTTGCATTTTCTACTTTATTTCCATTAACATGATTAAAAAGCCTATTGCCAATGTAATAAAAAAAAATAAATAATCGCAGAATTCAAATCTTAAAAAATGTTCAACTCGTGACATAACAATACTGATAATTAACTGATGCACTACGCGCATTCATCAATTAATGTGTTGTTCGGTCACTCGTTGAATTTTTTTTCGATATTTGAATTCTTCGATTAGTTATTCTATAAATAGAGCATGACAAGAAAGAATATAATTTGTACTAACAGACTAGATAATATATTTAGATATTTGTACATTTTATCCATATATAGATCTATATCATATCTAATTGATCTCTTTAGGTAAAACATATATACCCCATTGATGCTACTCATATCAGTGTTTGAGTATTCAGATGCAGTTCAATGATTTCTAAATTCATACAAAATTTCACAAAAATCTTAAATACATGTACTGCCAAATTATTTAGGTCTTACTTAAGTGAGCGTTTCAAGATATACTCTCACCTGCAATTAATTTATAACTGGAATTTTATTAATATTCATGAATTTTTTGTATTTAAACAATTCAGAGTCAGCTGGTCATCATTAAACATATGTCTATTTGACTCCAGTAACCTTTAAAACTGTTGTATTAACATGAATGGAAGTTGGTGAATAGCATTGCATTATATTGTATTATATTTTTTACTGACAGCTAAAAAAAAAATAATTAGCTGCCCTGTTTACTGTTTTCAAATCTGTAAACAACAGCTAAGTAAAATTACCTAATAGGATGTGGACTGAATCAGCATAATGTCCTTTTGTTACGGGCCAAAAAAAATTAAAACAACACGTTATAAGTTTCATGCATCCAAAGCGATTTTCTGAATTTACCTTCATCAGGATCGCTCAAAGCCGAATATTTGAAAGCCAAGGACGTATAAGAACCGAAACAGTTTGAGAGCTATATAACAAAAAAGGACCTAAATAATAGCAAAATCCATCTTAGGTCAACTTTGAAATTAGGTTTCTGCCAATCTGGAAAAATTGATACCTGAGAAAATAAATGAATACCTGCAAATTATTACCTATTGCTGAACATCAATGTCATTTTGCATGTGGTACAAGAAAAAAAAATAAAAATACATGTTCCTGTCTTTACAAAATATTTGATTTAGTTGTTGGTAATTTGTGTAAGCCTTATATTAAGTCTTGAATATCTCTTGTGGTACTGTGTCATTGATGTATAGGAATTTATTTTATTCAACTAACTGTCCAGTGACGAATTAAAAATAAAATGAGTTTTTATCAGACTACATGAACAAATGTAATGGTTTTTGTAAAATTTCTGCTTAACATCCCGAAAGTCACTGAAAAGTCTGAGGTAAGCAATTGTCTGATCTAAATTGGGATGTTAATCCAATTCCCCCTGTTACATTTCCATTCTTTTTTTACATAAAACTAGTTTTGCAACAACTGTTTAAAACTCCTGTTTCTAATTATATGTATAATTTATTCAGCAACTTGGGTTAGGGATAGTTCATAGAGCAAATATAAAGTTCATTTGCTATGGACATAATATTTTAAAAGGTCAGTTAGAGTTCAAAAGAAGACTATGAACAGACTTTTATTTTAAAGGTGAGAAGTTTAATTGAAAGACGAAGGAAGACAGAACAACTTTGTTGAATACTCTTTTTCAAAATATATATTTTTATTTCTCATTTCTAACATTAAAAATATTAATTTACAAAAAGAGGAGATAAAAAATCTTAGTCCCATGAAACAAAATAAAATATTTGGTGATCTTAAAGAGAATGTATCAGCATTAATACAGCTGCAACAAATTGTATCTTACTATGGCATAGATTTGTTGCCCTTGATTAATAGTGGCTCTTAATCAATTTGGTCATTTATATGTAGACACGAAATTACTTATATAAAAACAGGCAATCCCTATGAAATTTTAGTGCCATACTCCTTTTTTTAATGGAAGGCTGTGACTGAAATTTAAACAATGTGATTGTGGTTACTTTTTTTGATTTCTGAGCAATATACAATACACAATATGGTTTCAAGCATGAATGTTTTAATATTCTTTCAGCTTGGATTGGAGACTTCTTATTGACTCTCCTTGACAATAACTTTGGGTATGTTGTCAAGGGTATTGAAAAGGGCTGATGCTTCAGAGCTGTTGGAGTCACCAATTTGAGTTACCCTCCCTGTTTCTTCATTTTATAATGTCCAGGAAATAGCATATTAAGCGAAAGATGAGTTTTGTATTCCATATTCTGAGAGATGGTATATCATACTATATTTATTGTAAAAGTTTGTTATATCTTTACAGGATGTGAATTTAGATGAAGACTTACTGGAGGACTGAACTCTTATAATCATGTGATCAGGAACTGAACCAATCATAGACATTGTTACATGTCACCCATCATAAAAATTGTATGAAATTTGTTGATAGAATATTTATTATTAAGTGCTCTGTTATTGTCTTCATATTTTATTGTCATGGAATAATGAATATCTATTGTGAAATATTTGCTTTTATTTTAAAAGACAGATCAAGTCATACGTAAATATTATTACTCAGATTTTGACTCTTACATAGTAGTGCAATAGAAAAGAATGTTAAAAAGTCTTAAAAAATTATAATCCATTGAATCCAGCTGTTTACCATATTTATATGAACCAAGAGAAATTTTATGGCACCACACATTTGATTTTGTAATACAGGAATACTTTGCAGCTAAAACCCTCAATTTATAGCTGTTACAGCAATAACAGTGCCAGGTTCATTAATTAAAAGTCATTCCCACTTAAGGACTTATTCTTGAAAAGTCAGTTGTTTTTGATGTGTAATTTTTATGTATATTGAAGGATTTTTCTGATTCTTTTTTCTTTTAACACTATAAAATAAAAATTTGAAAGCAGATATATAGAAAAATTATCTATCTTTGTTAGTTTTTGTCACATAAAGTATGAACAGTAAGACACTAATGAAGTATTTGACATTTGAGATGTTATTAACTTAGGTATTTATTTCTTAACATTGTTTGTTTCCAAATGAGATATTGTATATGAAACTGTCATGTGAAAAAGGGGAGGAGAAAAATAAACAATGAAACTTAACTTCTGTTTTTTATTCATCTATCACGAAAAAAGATCTGTCTGAACCAACTACTGTTAAAAAAAATTATTGTAATAACCAAGAGAAGGCACAATTTTGAATTCTGAAATTTATTGATATGTGATGTCTACAATCATAATCATAATAGTCAGTCTTTTCCTTGAAATTTTCTTCTCGTCCAATTTTATTCCATTTTGATGCATAGTATATGCAAAGCCTAGTCCAGTCTTTATGTATGGCACTGTAAATGAAAATATTACTGTATAAATTTGATGTGGGCTAAAATACTTTTTTGGATATAACTCCAATAACTCCATCAGGAATGCTCATATCTTAAAATATGAAAGCCAAGGATGTATACATGCCTGAAAAAATGTACTTATTACATTGGTTGCAATGAATTACATTGATTTCCCAGTGAAATAAACGTGGTTATTTCACTCCTCTGACATCATACAACAATAGGCGTTGTCAAGACGTCGATAACGTTGGATCAAAACAAATTGTGAATGCGTAGAAAAAGATATAGTTCCTTACATTTTCTACTTTAATTTCATAAAAAAAGCCATTTGCCAATGTAATAAAAAGAGTAACTAATCAAAGAATTCAAATATCGAAAAATATTCAACTTGTGATCGAACAACACTGATAATTAACTCAAGTGCTACACGCATTTGTGAATTAATGTGTTGTTCATTCAATCGTTGAAAATTTTTCTCCATTTGAATTCTTCGATTAGTTAATCTATAACTATTACTTGATACAGGTAAAGGTGCCAAAGATAAGGACTTTAAAGAATATTTTAATATGCCCCCATCAAGAAATGTAGGGGGCAAATTGTTTTATCATTGTCTGTCTGTCTTTCTGTCCATCCTTTGCATGTAGGATACATGGTTTGTCCAACTACTAAATTTTTAAAAAATATATAAGGGGGATATTTTAAACAAACCTTAAATTTTGTTAGAAGTTAAGCTCTGTAATATCTTTTGATACAACTTAAATAATTTTGGTTTGAGATGTCCTTAGGTGCAGAATTTGACCAAAACATGTAAAATTTGGTAGAAGTGTAAAAGTTTTCTAGATAGAACTTTACATAGCTGAATGGGCATTTCTATTCAGTAAAATCTATTTTGTTTTGTTTTTTTCTAATGACCAGAATTTGACTATTAATTGGGTCACTGTGCGACAAGCTTCAACTTCAATTTTATCTAAAATACAAATGTACTATTGTTCCTACTTACAAGGTTCCTTATAATATAAATATGTTTAACAAAACACTATTTTGGCTGATGTATGAATGGATTTTCCAATAGTAATGAGAATTATGTGAGTATTGCATGTACAATACTATATAAAAATAAGGAGATGTGGTATGATTGACAATGAGACAACTAGCAATAATAAGCAACCACACGACCTTCAGCAATGAGAAAAATCCCATACTGTATAGTTGGCTATAAAAGGCCCTGACAGTTTCTCCCAAATAGTGGTGATATTGGATGAGTTTATATTGATATTGGACACACCTTCAATTGAAAAGGGGTGAGTTGAATTTTTCAATTCATTCTGATATTGTTGGAAATTTTCATCTTTTATCAGTTCAAAATACATTTTCAAGAATTAGCACCCAAACCCTACCTCAGAGGATGTGATCTCTGACTTGATCGGTAATCTCTGTTAATATGACTATACACCAATTATCTTTAAAATTGATTCAGTTATTTCAGTTAAGTGGTGAAAACACACAATTTCAAACATTTGTCTATGTCCAGGGGCCACAACTTCAGCAGACATTGTATAAATGGAATGAAACTCGCCCTCAATCTATAAGTACTGATGAAGTATGTACTAAATACTGGTACAGACCTTAGAGGTAATTTATAATACTTTTTTAGCAAGAATTTGACACTTGAGGTCATTGATAATAGCAAGAATTTGACACTTGAGGTCATTGATAATAGCAAGAATTTGACACTTGAGGTCATTGATAATAGCAAGAATTTGACACTTGAGGTCATTGATAATAGCAAGAATTTGACACTTGAGGTCATTGATAATGGCCAGAATTTGACACTTAAGGTCATTGATAATGGCCAGAATTTGACACTTGAGGTCATTGATTATGGCCAGAATTTGATACTTGAGGTCATCGATAATGACCAGAATTTGTCACTTGAAGTCATTGATAATTACCAGAATTTGACAAATGAGGCTGTTGATAAAGCCAGAATTTGACACTTGATGTAATAGATAATGGCCAGAATTTCACACTTGATGTCATTGATAATGGCAAGAATTTAAGACTTGGGGTCATTGGTAATTGCCAGAATTTGACACTTGAAGTCATTGATAATGGCCAAAATTTGACACTTGAGGTCATTGCTAATGGCCAGGATTTGACATTCTGTAGTAGTATTAATACACATTCTTCACACCAATTAACACTTTAATTTCGTGTGTGAAATTAAACTTTTTTCTCCAAACTTATCAATAACATTTTCTTCGAAAAAAGAATTGGAAAGTTTGTGGATATCGTGGAGGGACTAATTGCACAAAAACCTATTTCCTAGCGTTTTTAACTTAAAGCAAGGAATTAATTGGTCAAAAACCTAAGTCTTTACCATTTTAAACTGAAAGCAAGGAACTTATTGGTCAAGAACCTAAGTCCTTACCATTCTAAACTTAACTACTCCGTAAAAGATATTCTTAGTATCGTAACTTTTAATCAGTAACACCCTGGTTTGATTTATAGACAGATGTATAGTCATCAGTTATCCACAGTTTCTCGCAAATTTATACTTAACTTTATGAGGTATGTGACAGAGTTTCTAGGCTTTTATTTTAACCCTCTCCCTTTTATAAAATCGATAATTAGATTAGCAAAACTTACATACAGTGAAAACGTGTATAGAAAAAAAAACATTCAACTCTTAAAAACGGTAACATAGTAAAATAGATAGCAAAAATCGCAATATAAATAACAACTTATACTGTATCAATGAATATATGCAGCGACTGAAATGAAACCCAACGTACTTGATGGGGAATCTTGCCTTCCTTCACTTACTGTAGGAGATATTTTGTTGGACTTTTGTTCTCCTACTGATAGACATAACTTCATAAAATATGTTAGCTGTAGTGTTTGTATATAGAACCGATCTGATAAGTAGTAGAACCTTTTCAGTTGATTTTAACAGTTGTCCTATTGTTTTGCTGTCACAACCCAATTCCAGATAAGGGAGAGGATTGAACGAACATTCTCATTTGCTAGTGTGCCTGTCCCAATGTTCCTATCCAGGAGCCTGTATTCCATTGGTTGTTGTTGGTTTAACGTCTAGATAAGTGAGAGAGTTGAACGAACATTCTCGTGTGCTAGTGTGTATGTCCCAATAGTCTTAGCCAGGAGCCTGTATTCATTTGGTCGAATTTGGTTTCCAACGTTCTAGATAAGTGAGAGAGTTGAACGAACATTCTCATGTGCTAGTGTGTCTGTCCCAATGTTCCTATCCAGGAGCCTGTAATTCATTGGTTGTTGGTTTTAACGTTCTAGATAAGTGAGAGCGTTGAACGAACATTCTCATGTGCTAGTGTGCCTGTCCCAATGTTCCTATCCAGGAGCCTGTAATTCATTGTTTGTCGTTGGTTTTAACGTTCTAGATAAGTGAGAGAGTTAAACGAACATTCTCATGTGATAGTAGGCCTGTCACAATGTTCCTATCCAGGAGCCTGTAATTCATTGGTTGTCGTTGGTTTTAACGTTCTAGATAAGTGAGAGCGTTGAACGAACATTCTCATGTGCTAGTGTGCCTGTCCCAATGTTCCTATCCAGGAGCCTGTAATCCATTGGTTGTCGTTGGTTTTAAAGTTCTAGATAAGTGAGAGAGTTGAACGAACATTCTCATGTGATAGTAGGCCTGTCACAATGTTCCTACCCAGGAGCTTGTATTCCATTGGTTGTCGTTGGTTTTACCCAATGGTCCTAACCAGGAGCTTGTAATCCATTCAAACGTTCGTGATTGTTTTTCGTTTTCTCTCACAGGTATGTCTATCAGTATCTTACGATTGCATTTATTCTTTAATAGTTAGAGTAAAAGGAGTGCGGTGGTTCGCATGCCCCTTTTATTCGTTTCTTTCAAAATGTATTCTTAAATTAGATTTAGATCTTTTCTTCATTAATGGCGTGTTTTTGGAACAGTACAGTACAACATCTTTACACGCAACCTCTGATTTTTAAAGTTTGTTCTTAAGATGTACTATTACACCACAGTCCCATGTTAGTGGGAGGGTTTGACGCTAGCAAATATGTTTAACGTCGCAAGGTGACTTATAGTTGTTAACTTCTTTGTCGTGTGGGTCTCTGGTGGAGTGTTTTCTCATTGGCAATCATACCGCATCTTCTAATTTTGATAATTACATTTTGCTTACTATTTTGCATGAACCCTTGTTAAAATGAAGTTCTTCTCTTCCATCTTTATAATCAAACGGTTATTGCTATTTTGACTTCGTCTTGTTGTAGTTGCTTGATATTATTTTTATGTTACAAAGAAAGGGCATTAAGACTTCAAAATAATATTAGACTTGCAGCTTCATGTAGTGTAATTTAAATTGTATTTACTTTTGCTGTGTTCAAATTAAACAGAAAAACATATTCTAACTCGGCCTAATAGACAAGGAATGACTATGCTAAAGTTGAGTGTATTTACTAATTTATTTTCTTACACAAAACTGAAAGTCCAGTTTTATTCCCATATGAGTATGAAATAGTTCATAATTAGTCTTTGATGAATATATTTCCTATATTTTTATCTTGGTATGAAAAATATGAACTCTTTCATACTCATGGGAATAAAACTGGACTTTCATACACATTTTCATAACACTTTCATATTTTTCATACCAAGATAAAAATATAGGAAATACATGCCCATCAAAGACTAACTGACCTGAATATAAAGAATGGTTTCCAGAATAAGAATAATGAATATATAAATATCACAATAAAGCGTCAGTGTTCTATATCTCTGTGAAGAATTTGACAAGAGTGCCTCAACATCAAAGGAGTTCAAAGAGTAACCAATAAGAATAAAGAAATAGAAAACCCAGATGTATATACCAAAGTGGATCGAAAATCAAAATACTGTCATACTGTATACTCTGTCAGCGTCAGTCAATAAGTCAATGCATGAACAAATATATACAAATACTATTTATTAAAATAAATAATCAATTCAAGCTGTACTACAGACATGATATGACCGCTATATAAGGAGGCATTAAATACCAATAAAACAAAACTAAACAAACAAACGTTGACTCTCATAAGACAAGACCCTTTTGTTATCATTGTCGTTATATCTTAGTTAGTGCGTCAAAGGAAATCTTTAAACGAGGTCTATCATTAAGCTTTTTTTATTGCAAAGTTTATACAATTTGACTGTTAATGACGTCTTTACACTTAATCCATCGGATGTTGGATGTGTACTGATTGATATTGATTAGTCTTAGATACATGATTTTATTAGTTGTTATTGGCTTTGAACTAGCTGTCAGTAACTGCGAGTACTCTCAGATCTGTACTTAGTGTATTTTTTTGTTTTAGGGATGTATAAATATCATGTCACGTCCGGTCTGTGTTACTTGTTTTTCTGCTTTGTATCGATCTGATGAGTTGAGCCCTTTTCAACTGATTTTTATAGTTTGTTCATATAATGTACTGTTACACCACTGTCCCAGGTTAGGGGGGTTGACAGCCCGCCACATTCTGTAAACTCTCCATCAAAGAATAAATGACGTAGTTCTAAATTAACAACTTTATGTCACCGTACTGCCTTCAACAATAAGACAAACCCATTACTCATAGCAAACTATAAAGGGCCCCGAAATGACAAATTTAAATGTTAAACTAAATTAACGGTCTGATTTATGTTCAATAACAAAAGAATAAACGGAAAACATACATGATATACACCAACAAACGAAAACCACTGAATTACAGGCTCCTGACTTTGGTTCCTCCACAGTTTTGGTTTTCATTTGGAATAGTAAAGTTCTTGGCGTTGCTAATAGTGTTGATAACTTTCTCATATATATTCTCAAATATTACCATATTACAAAGAAAGGTACCGCATAACTTATCAAGTAAATCATGTGCCTAAAGCCTTTAAAATATACTGTACACACGAGTTAGGAAAATGCGATTATACATAGAATAAAAATATATATGAAGAAAACATTTTTTATTGTTTTTTTTTATATTTAGAAATAAACAGAAATAGTATCAGTTGTTTGTTCCATTTTGAAAAAAAATGAGAAAAATTTGTCCACCGTGTGATTTTTCCTTTCAAGTATATATGAGTTTTGTGTTTTTTCTTTCGTTTAGCTAATGAACACTGAATGCAAAGGATATAAATAAATTTCCTTGTTCATGATTTGGGGCGTAAAAATATATAATTTACTAAGCGAATCCGTCAGCGAAACCGTCATTGTAAATTTACTGTCAAAACGAAATTTGCTGTTTTTTGTTACTTAGATCGCCAAGTATAGGACAACCTGCACACATGACCGTTTTTTGCTCTGAATCAGAATCTGTTTGAAAAAGATTTAATCATCCAATCCTCCTTTTTCACGACCCCTTTCTTTCTTTCTTTCCTTTCCTTTCTTTTCTTTCAAATCAACCTTATCCAAAAATGGTAATCATCTAAGCGTCCGAAGCGCTTTTCGGGATTTACGTTCATCAGGAACGCCAGAGCCGAATATTTGAAAGACGAGTATGGCAAGCCGTTCTCGTCAAAGCTATGTTTAAATTATTTTTTCGAAAAATTTACACACTGTGAATTAAAAAAATCACACTGAGATTTAAGAACCTAAAATAACACACCGAGAAATCGAAATTACACACTGAGATTTTAAAATTACACACTGAGATTTTAAAATTACACACTGAGATTTAAAAAAATGAAAAACACGCACTGAGAATTTAAAAAATTGCACACTGAGATTTTAAAAAGACACACTGAGATGAAATAAATTGAAAAACACACACTGATAATTGTTAATTACACAATGAGATTTCAAAAATACACACTGAGATTAATATACAAATTACTAATGAATATCCATGAGATGAATAATTCAACAGATTAATATCTTGGTCTCCCGAACTCTTGTTATTATTAAGAAATGCGGTTCCTACAACCAACATTCATAATAAATTTCAAGACTTAACAACTTTTTTTGCTGACTCATATTCATAAGTTTTTATGTTTTTTAATCTCGGTGTGTTTATTCTTAATTCTCATTGTGTAAATGTTTCGAAAAATGGATTAAACATAGTTTTGACGAGAACGGCTTGCCATAGCCGAGGATATATTAGAACCTAAACAGTTGCAGAGCTATATGACAAAAAAGTACCTAAAAACAAAATTCATCTAAGGTCAACTTTGCTGAGGGAGTTGAAACCTTAATTTCTTTATAATTTCAAAATTTATAGACGGGCAATTTTAGAAAGGTGTATTTTATATAAGTTAAGATTCATCATATGAAACAAGAATAAAACTATCATAGTTTTGAAGAAAGTAATTTTATTTACAAAACAAATAGTTACCGCAAATTTCTCTGAAATCTAATGTAATAGCCAATGTTACAACTTGCCATTATTTTGTGGTGCACATTTTACAAAAAGAATGTTACATGGACAACCATTATGAAGGTTTAAAAAAATGCATATTTATTATTATGGTTATACCTAAGGGCGTTAACATATACATGTGTGAAAAATATTTTCAAAAATGAAAAAAAAAAATCCCAATATAAACACAAAAGATTAATAGTTTAAATGTGACATTTGCCTTAAAAATGAAAACAACACGTTATAAATTTAATTAATCCGAAGAGCTTTTCTTGATTTGCCTTCATCAGGAACGCTCAAAGCCGAATATTTGAAAGTCAAGGATGTTTAAGAACTGAAACAGTTGAAGAGCTATATGACAAAATATATTACTGGCACATTACAACATGCTGTCTCTGGGAGTCAAAACTATATTATTATTTCATATTTCAATAACTTGTGGAAAATATTAAATTATTTTTGAAGTTATTCAGCATTTATTTTAAATGATTCGTGGGGTTCACGTCACTAAATATCAACCCGACAACCCCAAAATACGAATGATATCTATATAGAGTTCATAATGTATCTATGAATCTGCTTATAGCCCCGAATATAGACAGGTTGTACATAAATTTGTGCATGAAACATATGCCACTGGATGTTAAACCATCTTAGACATCAAAGAATCAAGACATGCAAAAACAACCTCCTTAAAATCTGTTCTAGGGACGAACATGTACTTATGTCTTTTATTAGTTTTTGTGCTGGGTTGCTGTTTCATTCATATATAGCATGAGACAAGAGACACTTCATCATCCTTTAACATGTAGACAACTACTTGTATTCATATCAAAAAATAGTTTAAATCATATATTTGTACAATAAAGCAATGACATTAAAACAAAACATGAATTTTCCTTATAAAAATACCAGTTCAATCCAGAATTATTTTAAATGGATAATTTAGTTATTTGCTGAATTTGACTGGAGTTTGAGCAAAATCCAAGATCATCCCAGACCAAATCTGGATAACACAAATTCTCCTTGTAGACATTACGATTCAAATGAATTTATTTAAACTAAAATTATTATTATGCATTAAATCTTTGTTTATATTGCTGATAATTAATATTGTATAGATTTTATTAAAAAGCGACATCTGACGGCAAACTTTTCCCAGTGGTGCGAGAGGTAACAGCTTGCATTGAACTGAGTCATATATATGGATAGAATATAGATAAATAATAATATTACATAGGAAAATCGAAGATTTATGGGACATCAAAATATACCGGGAGATAGATATTCACCGGGAGATTGATGTTCGCCGGTATCTGGATACACAATTAAAAACAAAATCTGACTTTAAAGTTTTCGTGATTGAATGGACTGAATTCAGAAATCTGTAAAAGTATGCCTTACGTGCAAAGACAACTTTTTGTGTTGACGTTGCAATTTTATTTAGAACGCAGTGATGTCCATAATGAATAATAAGACTGATGAGTAATTATAGGCAAGTATTTTTTCACTGTAAACATGGTGGAAGTGTTCAAGCAATTTTAGTATTTTATCTAAAAAAGAGTTTAAGTTTAAGATAACTATCAAGAATGGAGGTGTCTGCATAACGATCATTTTTTACTGTATATGCTTGTCTGAATAATAAGGGTGGAGTGATGACAAACAGGTATAATGAGAGTCTGAATGATAAGGATGGAGTGATAAAGAACAGATAAAAGCCAGTTCCTGTTTATAGCGAGGAATTTTAATCGTCCTGTTTATAGCGAAGGTATCTTAATTAATCGTCCTGTTTATAGGGAAGGTATCTTCATCTTCCTGTTTATAGTGAAGGTATCTTAATTAATCGTCCTGCTTATAGTGAAGGTATCTTAATTAATCGTCCTGCTTATAGTGAATGTATCTTAATTAATCGTCCTGCTTATAGTGAAGGTATCTTAATCGTCCTGCTTATTGTGAAGATATCTTAATTAATCGTCCTGGTATCTTAATCGTCCTGGTTATAGTGAAGGTATCTTAATCGTCCTGTTTATAGTGAATGTATCTTAATCGTCCTGCTTATTGTGAAGGTATCTTAATCGTCCTGGTTATAATGAAGGTATCTTAATCGAGTTAACAAGGACAAGATAAGATAATAAAGTCACTGAAGAACAACAGTTACAGTAGACCCGGATGTAGATTTACCAGGAAGGCATGTATAACATTCCCTATTTTTATGCAGTATCTCCCATGAAAACTATCAATTCCACCCTCTCTAAAGTTGCAAGTTTAGATGATGTTGATGCTAAAAAATGACAAGATTAGCATACAATATTATTTAGAAAACAACATATGTCTAAATGTTAATGGGGTTAAAAATCACTTTCCGTATTATTTTTCGGGAATTTTACGTAATTAAAATTAAAGTTCATTGCCTTATTTTGAAAAGAATGAAATAACCGACTGATTACGAATTCCATAAAAATGAAGAGGAGGCAAGAGACACTTTGACACTTGAGACAAAACAGACCGGATACAAAGAAAATTAAATCTCTACAGGCACAAACGTTTTTGTGGAAAAGATATCGTTTTGTTTTTAAATCAAAACACCCTTTACGCGTTGAAAAATTCAGGCATGTTTTAAAGTGAGAACCTCAATTTTGTCTTCCAAAGCCAAAAACGAGATAGTTGCTTATGAGACAACCAGAGACAAGACGACGTAGATTTTAGCAAATGTGCATACTTTATTTTTTGGGTATATTTAAAACACAATCAATATCTTACGACCATCCACATTTTGAGATATGAATAATTGTCCCTTTAAAGCAATGACGTAGAGCAAACTTTTGATGTTCTCTAGTCGTTATTTATATAGACATTTTTGGGTGAAAATTACATCTTCCCATAACGTAATATGTCAACATTACTGAAAATGTAATAAAAGGGGCCACTAAATGTAGTAATAAACTGGACAGAGATGATCTACATTATAGATACATCTGGCTGCTTCAGGTTTTTGGTGTAATAAGAAAGAAGAACAAGAAAAGGAAGAAACAAAAATTTAAAATAAGAGAAAGAGAGAGTTTTCACTTGATAGAGAGATCAGAAAAGATGAAAATGAACAATATTATGTTATTATGTACATAAGTAGCTTTTTTATCCACTTCTTCTTTCTTACCATATAAACTAATCCAAACCCTTGACTACTATTTGAATAAGTTTGCGTGCTACTCAGCATACTAACTCTTTTTTAAGTTGCATACATATTTCGTACCAAAATCTGCACCATTATTGCATAAAATATCTGGACTCCAAGTCCAAATAACCCCAAAGGACAACATCCAGCAATTTATTGTAACCGATACTAATACATAGAACAAATATTAAATAATTGAGGTTTTGTGACATTTACATAAGAAAATGTCTGTACCAAGTCAAGAATATGACAGTTGTCATCCATTCGTTTGATGTGTTTGAGCTTTTGAATTTGCCATTTGATTAGGGACTTTCCGTTTTGAATTTTCCTCGGAGTATTTTTGTGATTTTACTTTTTACTCTACTGGAAAATTAGCTTTATTGAAGATTTAAACAATAACTGATATATAAAAATAAGGAGATGTGGTATGATTGCCAATGAGACAACTATTCACCAAAGTTCAAATGAAATGGATGTAATCAATTATAGGCTACCATACAGCCTCCAACAATGAGAGAAATAAAACGGTTAACCCATACCGTATAGTCGGCTATTAAAGGCCCGTCATGAAAACTATGAAAAAAACCAATTGAGAAAATAACGGCATAATTTATAACAAAAAAATTTACGAAAAAAAAGTATGACAGACATGAACCATGCATTTTATATAATAAGTCGATGAAACAATAACGTTATATAATCAATACGTTATGTCAAAGGACAATGGAACTCTTCTACTACCACTGCATGGTTCGATACCACTGCTGGTGGACGGTTAAGTCTCCGAGAGTTTCACCAGCTCAGTAGTGATTCTGTACTGACATGATTTATAACATGCATTTCTTAAATTCTTCATTGATAAAGACATCAATATGAAACTATGGTTCCAACTTCCTTAGATGCATTTGTCAACATAAATGTCTTTTAGTCCTGCAGCTTCTCACGTATTCAGGTCATTAGTTTCCTTGTTTGAATTGTTTAACGTTTGTCATTTCGGGGCTTTTATAGGTGACTATGAGGTAGGGGTTTTGTTCAGTGTTGAAGACCGTACGGTGACTTATAGTTGTTAACTTCTATGTCATTTGGTCTCTGATGGAGAGTTGTCTCATTGGTCATTATACCACATCTTCTTATTTTTACATCGGATGAGACCTTTAAAGGTCATACCGGTGTTATGTTGCCGCAGAAATTTCTGAACACGTCCCTTGCGATTTTGACTGATAACCGAACGTATTTCGTATAAATACGGATATTATCGAGTGCAAGATAACATTCCTTATCGCTTCTTATAAATGCATTTCTTCAATAAATACTCTTGAAAATATTTTTTAAGAACATAAATAAATAATATGAAAAGGTTTTGTCGTGAGAAATATATATATATAAGTAAACAAAATCATTAATATCTATGCACACGTACCGAAAAATTGCGTTTGCAGATGAATATCTCTTATCGCTTGTTATATATTAATTTCATCAATAGATATTCATGAAAACATTTTTCTAAGAACATAGATAAATGATATGAAAATGTTTTGTCATGAGAATAATATATCAGTAACAAATCATGAATACCGAAAATTTGTGTTACGCATGCTGAAGAATATCTCGAGGACGTTTTGCAACAATAGCGGGAGAAATATAAATGCTTACTCAAATGAAACCTATTAGAAAAACGAATCATTACAGAAGAGTGTCCACCGTGCACTTGCACTGCACTATCATTAAAATAGTGGAATAGAACGATGGTCATGATAAATGGATGAAAATTTGCCGGTAGAGTTATTAAGATGATCTGCTATATATATAAATGTTATACAAATATTAATGTAATATATAACAATTGTCCCATGATTATATCACTACAATATAATAATTATTACGGTGAGGTTGAATTCCCTGTCATTTATTCATCATCCACACGGGAACTTGTCTCAGAAAAAATAATATATGTATATACCTTAACCTAACTTTCAGGTATAGAGATATGATTTTTTTTCTGAGACAAGTGACTGTGACTATCCACCAGAACTTGCGGTCATCCGATGTTCAGTACTTCAGTACTTTGATTATATTTACATATCCTTGGCTTTTTAACTGTTTGGTTTGGGGAGTCCTTGGTGAAAGAAAATTCCGAAAGGCGCTTCGGACGCACAAAATTTATAAAGTGTTATACATTCATTTTAGGGACAAATTTACACTATTCTAATTACCTTGCCCTTTTTCATTTTCAGGAAATAAACCCCAATGCCTTATACTATTAGTATTCTTTGATAAGAATTGTCAAAGTGTATGAAAATAAGAAGAAATAGTGTTATATGTACAGCGACCTAACATAAAAAAAACTACAAGGAGACATCTTTAAGTCACAATACGGTCTTCAACAATATATCAATTGTACAGATAGAGAGAAAAAACAACAATTGATCCAAATAAACGCATTGTTTTCAATAATTTAAATATGTTACAAAAAAAAAATATTTCACTTAACTGGCCAAATTTTTTTCAAAATTTTATGTAACTGCTTGGAAACTGAATAAATTGATTACCAACTTTTTTTTATACTAGTATACATATTGATAAATCATCACACTCAAGACGTGCCCTTCTTATGCCTCTCCTTAGCAGAGTGGACTTTTAAATAAGGTTTATAAATATCAGTTCTTTTGAAACCTCGTATCTTGTATTGCATAGAACGATTTGAATTGATTATAATGTATGCCTAGTTTCAAGGGAGAGATTGGTATACTGGTTTACCAATGTCCGTCCGTCCGTCCTTTAGTCCATCTGTTCGGAACACATTTTTTTTCTTATTTTTCTTAGCAACTACAAGCATCTTGATATATGACACCAAGCTTCATCTGGTAAAATCATACACGTTTTCATTGCCTTTGAGGTTATACTTCCTGTTTCCCGAAACTTAAAATTGTTTGAAGTTTCATGCACAGATGAAAAAGTTTTGTCACATTTCAACCATTTTCAACGTGGATGTAATAAGTTAGCAAAAATAGTACAGCTTGTTCATTTTAATTTGAAATGATTCATCATGTTCTGTTTTAAAATTTTCTTTCAGCATTCGAAATAATCATATTTTTATCTACTGTTCGTTTACGTTACTGTATAGAAACTTCGAGACAGATCAGTAACCTATATAAAAGTGTAAGAATGTATGATCTGTACGACCTTGAGCACCTTGAGGTCACATTTAAGAATTGCGAGTATTTTTTTGTATACGTAATTTCTAGTTATTATTTATCTGAAGCTTTTTCCTTCTTTTTGGTTGTCCTTTATACTGACATTATTTGGTCTATTATCTATACTGA